GACCCAAGAAGCGAGCACCGAGCGAAGCTCGGTGCGCCGTCTTGGGCTCGAGGGAGACAATTGAAACTCCGCTCGCGTCTCGCTCTTCATCCCTCCGGACTCCCTCGTCAGTAGAGGTGGCCCACTAGGCAGCATCAGCACCCGCCCGCCCGCGTCCTGTAGGTGTTTACCGAAGTTCACTGACAACAACGCATCTCTACCAGCGAATCGTGGGTGAGCCTCTGGGCTCACCCTCGGATCGCGCCCAAGGACGGTCGGCCCCTGGGGGCCAACTGTCTTTCACCCAAACCCACGGGAGATGTATTGTATATACACAGAATACATTCTTTGCATCGCACGACGACCCAAGAGGCGGGTCGCGGGACGGCGTCGCCCCGCGTCGGGTTCGACGTTCGCTCGTGCCACTTTCTCTGTTCAAGACGACACATTGCACGAAATTGGAGTTGCGGTGCGATAGAAATTGCGCGATAGATAAGTACACGTGGAGTGCGGCACGATAACGACATCGACATTATGGGACAGTAAAACCAGCATCGTGAAATAGGATAATCTAAGCGGGATGTATGCAAGGCGCAAGAGTTCTAGTTCTTGGCCTGCGGTAATGTCTTCTTGTACGCCTCCTCGAGCTCTTTCTGGACGTTCGGGAGAACAGGCATGTGGGTCTGTTATGCCGTGGTCAGCGTGCGAAACGACAGTTGCGGCCAGGGCATCACCCACCTTATACTCCATGCTGAACTCGCCCTTACCCTGCGTCACACCACGCAGTTGACCCGAGTATCCGAACATGTCGTTGAGCGCGACCTCGGCGACGGCGACGAACTCGTCCTCGCGAACCTCGCTGTCGAGGATCGTGCCACGACGGGTGTTCAGACTGCCGATGACCGCGCTCTGGAACTCGGCCGGGGCAACGACCTCAACGGTCATGATCGGCTCGAGAACGATGGGGCGGGCCTGCTTGTACGCCTCGCGGAACGCGCCGATGGTTGCCAGACGGAAAGCCAGCTCGGACGAATCGACGACGTGGGCGGCACCATCCCTCAAGACCAAGCGGCATCCAGTAATCGGGTTACCAGTCAACGAGCCCTTTTCCAGGGCCTCGAAGAAACCCTACATCAAATCCGGTCAGATCAGCTCAACGCACAATCATCATTCGAACAGAAACGACAGACCTTCTCGCAACCAGGGATGTAGTTGTGCGGGATGTTGCCGCTCATGACCACGTTCTCGAACTCGACGTCCTTGCCCGTCTCCTCGTCCCGTTCCATCGGCTCGATGAATCCGATGACACGAGCGAATTGACCAGCGCCACCGGTCTGCTTCTTGTGCGTATATGAGAAGTCGGCACGCTGGCCGATGGTCTCACGGAAGGCGACCCGAGGACGACCCGTCGTACATTCGACGTTGTACTCGCGCTTCATGCGCTCCACATAGATTTCGAGATGCAACTCGCCCATACCGGAAATGATGGTCTAGCGGATAAGGACATCTAAGCATCGTGCATGAGGAGCGATGTTGATTCAACGATTAACTGACCTCCTTGCTCTCCGAGTCGATGTGGACCCTGAAGGTCGGGTCCTCGCGCTTGAAGCGGTTCAGCGCACGAGAGAAATTCGGGGTCTCCTTTCCGACGGGTTTGAGGGCAAGCGAAATGACGGGCTCCGGAACATGCATGGAGGTCTGTTGAGCCAACGTCAACCTGCGAGCAGCGTGCACTGTGATGCGAGGTACTCGCCATGGTGAAGCTGGTGGACCCATCCGTGAACGTATCACCAGAAGCACAGTCAACGCCGAAAATCGCGCAAATTTCACCGGGGCCAATTTCATCGATGTCCTATCGCAGGCGTTAGCATCAACGGCGACTGGTGGGATAAACAAATACCAACCTCCATCTCGTTACTGTGCATGCGAACGAGCTTAGGGATCTTGACCTTCTTGCCGGTCCTGGCATGATACAAGAACTGGCCTTTCTTCAGGCTACCCTGGTACACCCGGATGTACGTGAGCTGCCCAAAGCGACCCTCCTCGAGCTTGAACGCGAGGGCGACGAGCGGGGCCGAAGCGGCAGGGACAAGAGCGACCGGAGGCGCAGACGCGGGTTGCGTGATGTCGTGCGCGACCGCGGGCGCTTCGGCCGGGTTGGGGAGGTAGTTGCACACGCCGTCGAGAAGCGGCTGCACGCCTGTGTTCTTGATCGCGGAGCCCATGAAGACCGGGGAGAACTTGAGCCCGACGGTTGCGCGGCGAATGGCGTCCGTCAGCTCGGCAACGGTGGGTTCTTGGTCGTTGAGGAAAATCTCAGCCATCCCATCGTCCACCTCGGAGAGTTGTTCAAGAAGCTCGGCACGCTTGGTCTTCGCGAGATCGAGGACTTCGGCCGGAATTTCATCAGACTCGACGACGGTGTTTCTGGGAAAAACGTGAGCATCGGCCGTTCGCTTAGAGTAGTCGAGGACATACCCCTTTTCTCCCTCAAAGTAGATAGCCTTCCACCGAACGAGATCAACAACACCCCTGAGCTCATCTTCCATACCAATGGGAACCTGAACGGCGGCAGCGGGAATGCGAAGCTTTGTCCGTATCTGATCAACAATTCGCCACGGGTTTGCGCCAGGCCTGCAGATGCGCTGTTCAGTAGCGCGTGATGAGGAAACGGAGATACTCCCACCTGTCCATTTTGTTGATGAAGGATAACCGAGGTACGTTGTACCGTCTCATTTGCCGATCAACCGTAGTTGTTTGACTCTGTGAAGCATGACACAGCGTTTAGCAGGATGCTCCCAAAATCGAACTAGGCATGAAGCCTTACCTGAACACCAGAAACCGCACACAAGACCAGGATAGCACCATCAAGCACCCGCAGCGCTCGTTCCACCTCGATGGTAAAGTCGACGTGACCAGGCGTGTCGATGATGTTGATTGCGTACTTCTCCTTCTCACCCGACGCCGGTTTGGTCGACATCCAGTCGCAGAACGTCGCCGCGCTCTGAATGGTGATTCCCTTCTCCCTCTCAAGGTCCATACTGTCCATCTTCGCGCCTACACCGTCCTTCCCGCGAACTTCGTGAATCGCGGAGACACGACCGGTGTAGTACAGGATGCGTTCCGTCAGGGTCGTCTTCCCGCTGTCGATGTGCGCGCTAACGCCAATGTTGCGCTGGAAGTTAAGTCGTGCATGGTCCTTGTCTGACAGGTCGTATGTTGGGTATGTGACGCCTTCCGCGGCAGAGTTGTCGGAAGCAGGGGTTGCCTTGTAGGCTGCCGCGGTCGACGCGTGCCTGCAGCGGGGAAGCGACCACCATCCAACAAAGAGCGCGTCCGAGGTGGATGCCGGCCGCCCTATTCGAGTGCACGACCGCCTGACTTCGGCGAGGACCCGACTCGCCATCGCGTACAATCCGCCAGCAAAGGGAGAAGGATAATGAGACGGAGAGCGGTGTCGGAAATTTCGCGTCATTGAATACGGCACGTGAGATCAGCATATACGTGCTATGGCATAAGACTCGTTCTTGAATTCCATTGCTGGAAGACAGAAACCTGATTCTCGACAACACGTCCCCTCCGAATATCACGTCGGATCTCCCACATCCCCCTCGTCGCACAGGAGTATATGCGTGTCCGGTTCCTAACGCCAATGTATGCTTGGCTTCGTTCTCACTTCAACTGTAACATCTTCCGGTAGTGCCTCGGTACTCGTTTCAGGATCCTTACGAATCAACTCCATGTCGCGAGATTTTACTCCGGCACCACTGCCGTACAAGACGCGCAAGCTCTCGAGTTCAAGTCTGGGTTCATCCCTTCGGTGATACTGCAGAACTCTCCGGTTGTGATAGGCCTATGACCCACACCGCTGATGGAACCCACATCGTCTACTCGTATATATAAGCCCTACTAAGCGGCTCCTTCGTCATCGTCGTATCGACTCGTACCGGTACCATGCCGTCTTTATCTGAAGCCCGAGCTTACAACGCCTCTGTCTTGTCGAAGGTTCCGACCGTTCCAGTTGCACTGTTTGTCGGGGGAACTAGCGGAATTGGCCAAGGTACGGCAGAGGCATTCGCGAGGTATACGAACGGAAATGCCCATATCATAATATGCGGTAGGAACCGCGAAGGTGAGTCGCATAGCATGACATGGTCCTAAATCGTCGCTGACGGGTCCGTGCAGCCGCGGAACGTATCATCGCGTCGTTTCCCAAGCCGACGGCTGCGGGAGCCAAGCACGAGTTCGTCCAGTGCGACGTGTCGTTGATGCGCAACGTCCGCGCCGTCACAGCCGACTTGATCTCCCGTCTCCCGAAGCTCAACTACCTGGTGCTCAGCACAGCATTCGTGGATTATAAAGGCTATCAGCCGACTGAAGAAGGGTTGGACAAGAAACGTGCTGTCGCGTACTTTTCTCGTTGGCGGTTTACCCTCGACGTGAGCTTCCTCATAGAACTAACTTGGCATGGACATCGGTCGAGTCACTGATCGTTTACTGGCAGCTACTCCCGTTGCTACGCCAAGCCCAGGACACGGGGGAAGCTGCGAAGGTCCTCTTCGTCTATGGCGCCGGTCAGCCAGGCCGGAAGATCGAATCCGATGATGACATCGACCCGGTAAAAGCATACAAGCGCGGGATGGGTTATGTGCGCACGATGGGCCTGACCTTCATGGACACCAGCTTGGAAGTGAGCAAACGTCCTGGTCCGCCCCCCCCTCCCCCCAATTCTCCTTCGAGTGATTTCCGCATCCGATACTAATCGACTCACCTTTCTTCGCAGGCCTTCGTGGCCGAGAACCCCTGGCTGACGACCATTCACACCTGGCCAGGCGCCGTGCATACGCCTATCCTCCCCCAGATTTTCCCTTGGCTGCCCAGCACCATCGTCAGCTTCATCTCCTGGCTGTTGGCACGATCGCCGAAAGACTCGGGCGAATTCATGCTCTACGCGCTGCTGAAAGCCGAAGGTGCCGGACAGGTCTTGCGATTCGGCGAGACTGGGGAGCCTGTACAGCGCCCTGACTACATTACTACCGAGGGCCAGGAGCGGCTGTGGAAGTATACGCTCGAGGCGATCTCAGTTCGATGATGTGGGTCATTGGGGGATCCATGGGTATATGCTTGTGTCGCGGGCACCGTTGGCCGATGTATTTTCTTTTTTGCTCAGCCATCATGTACCGTGGCTTTGATTTGGCTTAAACGACAGACTTGCGGCTTACCTTCTCACTCGTGCACATTGCAGTAAGTTTCCGCTTCACCACCACCTTCCACTGAAAGCTGTGCTGCAGTACTTGCTCTTGAACTCCTTCACGAATCTATGCAATGACGCCAGGCAGATATTAACCGGTATCGGAAAAGCATCCGGCACCCACACGAGCTTCTGTAGTCTTTGGCCTTGAGTGGGTACATAGTGGGTACAAGGGCGGTTGCTCATCGCCGCGACCAAGATTGCGAATCCGCTACGGCACATTGGCGCAAGCTCCCTGGATATACTTGGCATTCCAGGATACATTATTTAGCGTCGGCCTTCGATGGTCCTCTATGTGATCTTTGCGCCATACCGTCTCTAACCAAAGCTCATGACGCCTCCGCCTTATCCAATGGTTTGACCGTGCCGGTAGCGCTGTTCGTAGGAGGAACGAGTGGGATCGGTGAAGGTACGTACTGTGGAAGCTTTCGCCAGGCATACAAACGGAAACGCACATATAATCATATGTGGCAGGAACCGTGCAGGTGAGTCGCGAGACCAAGGACTTCGAGACACTGCGCCATCGCTGACGTGACTCTACTTATACTGCGACGCGACGCCGATGCGGAATGTCCGTGCTGTCACCTTCGAGTTGATCTCTCGCCTTCCCAAGCTCAAGTATCTGGTCCTGAGTACCGGATACGTGAACTTTGATGGATACAAGGAGACGGAGGAGGGGCTAGAGGAGAAAGCAGCACTGACATTGTTCGCCCGATGTCGGTTACCCTCAACGCGAGCCTTCGTCTGGTGTTGATATACATCTGACAGATGTATATCAACACTTGTCATCTGTTGTGTAAATGTTTGATACCTTGCCGACAGCTCCTTCCGTTGCTACGCAAAACCCACGATGCGGGAGAACATGCCAAACTGCTCTCCGTCGGTGGTGCCGGTCAAGCCGGTCGGAAGATCGAAACGTCGGACGACCTCGACTTGAGAGAAACGTACAAGCGAGGCATAGTCTATATTCGCAAAACAGGCATGGCTTACATGGAGCTCGCTTTGGAGGTGAGCGTATCGTGCCTCGGCATGCTCTCCCTTCCATTCCTCGCGGTGTTTTCGCCATGTGCTGAACAAATCCACGTCCTCAGGCTTTCGTCACCGAGAACCCTTGACTCACGACCATCCATACATGGCCGGGTGCCGTATACACGCCTCTCCTGCCGCGCGTGCTATCCTGGCCTATGAACATTATCGTCGACTACCTCTCCTGTATGTTCTTCCGGTCACCGAGCGATTCAGGCACGCTGTATGCTCTACTGAAAGGCGAAGGTGGAGGGCAAGTCTTGCGATTCAGGGCGACCGGGGAACCTGTACGACGTCCGGATGCGTACATCACCGCCAAGGGTCAGGAGTTGATGTGGAAGTATACGGTGGAGGCGATATCGGTTGGAGGATGCGAGTCACCATTGGCTCTGGCTCTGCAATAGTGGACGCTATACCCCGGGATAGCTATTTCTGCCTCGGTTTCTTGGATACCTTTCGGCGCGAGCTCGTCCGCAAGGATCACAGCGCACTTTGTATCTACTCGCTTCCCTTTTCTGAGTCTAAATCGGCGTTTTTCTGTGTGATTGCCAGTTGTGCACTACATTAAAATTACTGGGGGATTATCGTTTCCGTTATGTTGTGGATAGGCGAGAGACCGATACAAGGGGCGCGAAGGAATGAGACGATGAGGTCAGAGATACCAATACAGATGTGGGCGCGAGACTCCGAGAAAATTTACTCTACCAGGATCCGTTTCGAAGACAGAGACCAGAGACCAGGAATCCGAGCGCGTACGCGAGGAATCCGATGCGAACGCACTTAGTGCGACACATAGAGCGCGGGTACGTGGTACAACGCGTTCTCCTTGGCAGACAGCCGCGTGGGCTTGTGAGCGCCTCGCGCTTGGGGGCGCGGAGGTGATGACGATTGAGGGAGGGAGGGGGAGGTCTTGAAGAGCCGTGGAGGCTGCGGCGAAGGGCTTGCGGAGAGCCCCGGGAAGAGAGTGTTCCACGAGGGGCGAGCGACGGATGTCGCGTACAGCGGGCGCGCGGTGGGCCACCGAAGAGACGGTGAGCGGGGCGGCTGGGTAGAGAGAGGCAGGGCGAGCGGAGATGGACTCGTGCTCCGTCCCACCAAGAGGTGCGGCTGGCTCTGCAGCGTCGGCAGCGGGGGCTGCGGCCGAGGCAGGAAGGGCGCGCCGCTAGCGAGGGCGGCGTGCGCGTTCTTCTTCAGGACGCGCTGAAGAAGGGGAATGCTGCGGGCGTTCCGGAAGCGCTGGCCGGAAGCGGAGGTGCTCCGGGCGGGGCGGGGAAGGAGGGGGTGCAGGGCCTCGATCTGCAGGTGGGAACCGTCGCCCGTGTGGGGGCGCGGACCCGGGAGCGAGAGCGAGGCAGGTGATGGGACCGGGGAGGAGGTCTGTCGGGGCGTCTCGTAGAAGACGTTCTCCTTGTCGGCGTCCAAGGAGGAAGCCATCGCGGGTGCTGGAGCTGGGCTCGACGACTGCCGCGAGGGTGTAGCGTAGGTAGTACGGGCCTTGAAGAGGGGCAAGGGAGTTTCGTACAAGACCTGGCCTTGTGGGACACCGCGGTCGTGGTTGACCGGAGTCGGCACGGAGAGCGCAGGGACAGTGGGTTTCGGCGGGTTCGTGAGTCCTCCAAGAACGGTCTTCAAACTCCGTTGGATGTTCGAAAGAGGGAACCGCGCTGTCAGCTTGTCGATAACGTCGACGACCGGTGTGGCCTAGTCCATAAAATGTGGTCAGACGGTGCATATAGGCGCACAAGTAGAAGGCTCACGTCGCGTTCGGAATTGACGGCTGGCAAATCTGCGCAGTCAGAGAAAATATCGTCGAACCCGCCAAAGGAAAACTCTTTCGAGACGGCGTTGACTTTGGGAGCTGGGATAGGAAACGCTTTGGAGCAAGTGATCGCCTGGCTGTTGTCCACAACCGGCGTCTCCTCGTCTCCTTCTTCTTCCTCGTCCTAACATGACCAGTAAGTAACAAAGAACGAGAATAACAATGACAACGTACATCGAACTCCGTGCCGTCCGCAATGACAAAGATAGGTGTGAAGTCCTCACGGGCCAAACCCCACGACAACGGGGCAGGCGAAGCACCATAGCACGGTACCTCCTCAGTCACTGCGTCATTGCCCATGTTAATGACACGTTCGCAGAATCCAGAGAAGCCGCGACTGAAGGGAGCGATAGACTGTTTGTTAAAGACAGTGAAGGGCGACATAGTGTGTGCCGAGTAGTAATGAGCGCGTACGCAAAAGAGTGTGAAGGCTAAGAACAAGCTGTTCTGAGTGTATAGAGAGACACATTGCTGCGCTCTTATAGATTGTTGGAAGTATATCCGCGCATTCCGTCGATCGCGTCGGGGAGACCGAGTATGGGCGTAGGGACCAAAAAGAGAAATCCCGCCGCGAAGCCCCTCTTTGCGCGGTCATGTGATGTGAGAGCACCGGAGCCCTCGCCTGCCTTGTTGAAGGTCAAACGTTGGTCGTTCAAAAAAGAGGTTTACCGAAAATCTCCATCGATTTCCTTACTGAACTAACGGGTCCTGGCGCGTGTAAGTACTCAATGTCAATCGTTTTCAAATCAGTCAAGTATACATCTGTGTCCTCGCGGTAGTGATAAGTATCACCGATACTACAATGTGCAAGTATGGCCACACTCTATGAGGGCAGCACGAGTCAGGGACTTGCCGATTCATTGTTCATACCAGTCTCGAACCTGCTGAACCTCTTCGCTCAGTACTGAGTGCTCGCGTACTTGGACCTGTGTGCAAAACACTGCACGCGGTTCATGTCAGTCAATACGTTCAAGAATATCACGAAAATCGTGGCGTACGTTGTAATTGTCGGCATTGCGAACAGCCGACGAAGGGCTCCAGGAACCAAAGCTCTGGCCGTAAGGGCGCAGCCATACCCAAGGTCAGTAGTCCCGGATGCCGGATGTCGCGCGAGCTACCCAATGGTTCAACACATTGAAATATATACCAATTCACCATGTATTCACTAAGCTCGTGAAGGGTAGTTCCATCCCGAATGTTGCGCGAGGCAACAGAGATGCCGCTGCAGAGTCTGTAAGTGATCACCTCGTCGTAGAAGATCGAACAATAGTAGATGTTGGTCGTGGAGGTGACCGCGTAGGCAATGACACCGCCCGTGCAGACGCCGCACGGGTCGGCGCAGTTCAGTATCCGGCTGCTGCTGTTCTCGTTGGCGACGTTATTGGAGACGTTGCGGACGGTGCTGGTCGACGAAGTGCCGAAGTAGACCCGGAAGAGCGAGTTGGCGCCGTTGCTGGCGATGTAGGACGACGCGAGAGATGCGAGGGACTTGCCCTCGTTATTACGTCAATTTATATAGCACCACAGAAAATGAGAAATACCTACAGCTGATGAGCTTGTTTGACTGGGATGGGAGCAGCTTACCGTAGCCCGCTTCTACGGAAGGCTACGTTTGACGACATCGCCGTTAACGATGACTTCGACCTTCTTAGTAGCGACTTTGATGGTGGAAGGGTTCCTCTTCGAGCACCATGAAGGTGCTGACGGGCTCAAAAGCGTATTTATCGGTGCCCAAAGACTCAAAGTCGTGGAGAGCAGCGAACGCGAAACATGTCAATCCAGTAACACCTGGACGACAGAAACCGAGCAAGAAGTTCAAAGTTAGGTGCGGTCCATCGTAATCCGCTTGGGCACAGCATCGACCGTCGCTTACATCCGCAAAAGCCCAATCAGCGCAAAGTTTATCAACGATAGGCGCAGGCTGCGAGTCGAGTTACCACATGCTTCATTGTCTTGGCGTAACTTATTCGTGTGCGTTGGTCAGATGCATCCTCGTTTGGATTGTGAAGGTGCAGAAGTATCGACCACGCCGACCGTGTCGTCTACACAAAACCTGGGGCGTATGCCATAACTATTATCATCGCCTGCCGATGCCATCGCGAAGCCGTCGTTGTCTGAAGACGTGACATCGTTGAGGATCATCACGCAGAATATCAGCAGCATATCGCTGGACCATGCGAACTGTGACAGTACCATAGCGCACAAGCCGACTTAGACGGAAGTTTCACTCGGTGATCCAAAGAGCGAATATAGCGAGGGCATCATCGGCGGACGACAAGCAGAGCAAAGATCACCGCAGTCTTGTTCAGTAGAATGTGTGGAAACGGCGTGACCCCCAAAACAGGAGCAGAAGGCGCACGGAGTCCAGCAAGCTTCGGTCCGCATGAGAGTGGGAGCCATGGTCCGAGAGCCGCGATAAAGACGGTGAGAGTTTTCCGGATGGGCATTCAGAGTACGTCGTACGACGAAAACCATATAGTGTCGCGTTTCACAAGGTCTGGCCATCCCTGACGCCGACGAATGGCCGCTTTGGACATCCGGCGGCAGCTAGAGTATCTATAACGACATCAGGATCAACGCGTTCTCCGAGAAAAGAGTACGATCGCGCACTTGGGCCGTCCAAACATTCCAAAATGAGCCTGAACATACCGAAAAGGTATAACGGTGGAAAGCCTCATGGTTACGACTGTACTCAGATCGGGATTGATATAACACCGTATTGCGAAGGCATTGATGCGGCTCAAACCCTCGGCCATCGTGAGGCCACAGAATTAGGATGTCACAGAAGGGACCCATTCCAGTCCTTGGTATAAAGGACGGCCAAGGCGAACGGAGCTGAGCATAGACTATTCGGTAAAATGCATGGTATACTAGGCAAGGCGGAGTAGGGAGGCAAGCCGCAAGGGAGCGGATTTTTGGGTCATGCTGTGCACCCACGCTCGCTCTTCAAAGCTTTGAGCCCATCGATCCTGCAGGGATGCTTTCCTCAATCAAACTGGGACTGCGGCCCGCTGTATGAACCAAACGAGTGCTTGCTATGTCGCTCAGCTTTACAACCGAGAGGCAGGTGGCCGTCGCTGCCGTACGAAGGGCGTGCGGCCTTACGGCGTCCGTATTCAACAAACTCGTGAAGAACGAGACGCTTACGAAGGGAGACAAATCGCCTGTGACGGGTACGTTTTGTTCGACTCCGTCTTTGGGTTCTATGCTTAGATGCAACCCGGTCTGCAGTGGGCGATTTTGCGGCGCAAGCCGTCGTCAATGTCATGCTCGGCAGGGCTTTTCCCGGCGACGCTATCGTCGGCGAGGAGGACGCGGCCGATCTGCGGGGCGAAGACGCGACGTCCATGCGCACCCGCATCGTTGAACTCGCCAACGAAGCTCTCGCGGGCGAATTGGGACTAGGCGATATGGCAGAATGGGGCATCGGACCCGGTCAAGAGTTGCCGGCCGAGGCATTGTTGGAGGCGATAGACAGAGGGACTCACGCTGGAGGACGCACCGGGCGTAAGTACCTCGACCGTGCTCTTCGTGTACCACACGATGACCGTGCTACGTCCTATAGGCTTCTGGACCCTGGACCCTATCGACGGCACGAAGGGTTTCCTCCGCGGAGAGCAGTACGCCGTGTGCCTCTCTCTCATCGTGGATTCTCAAGTCCAGTTGGGTGTCATCGGATGCCCGAACTTACCCCAGCACGCATCTTCGCCTGAGGGTCCTCGGGGGTGCTTGTTCGTCGCCGTGCGCGGCCAAGGAGCACAACAAGTGAGCAACCCATGTTTGCGACATATATCTTCCCGGCCTTGACCGCCACCCCATTCATTCGGCAGCTCTCCCTCTCAGGCGCACACCCGACGCCCATTGCGATCCCGGACTTCGCCCCCGAAGAAGTGAACTTTCTCGAATCCGTCGAGGCCGCACATTCGTCGCACTCGTTCAATGACGCCGTTGCTAAGATTATGAACGTCACGCGCGCGCCTACACGCATGGACAGCCAAGCCAAATACTGCGCCCTCGCTCGGGGCGACGGGGCCGTGTATCTCAGGATGCCGACCGGCGTCGGGTACAAGGAGAAGATCTGGGTGCGTATTATATTATCGTCCTCTCCCGTCGGACGTATCTCATACCCGCGTCTTGTCCAGGATCACGCCCCTGGTTCTATCTTGATCGAAGAAGCGGGCGGTATCATTACTGACTCGCGTGGGCAACCTCTCGACTTCGGACTCGGGAGAACGCTCGGCGAGAACTACGGTGTGGTCGCCGCCGGCAAGTCCACTCACGCCGCCGTCATCGATGCTATCAGGAAGGCGAAGGAGCAAGAGGCCAAAGGGCATATGTGACAGTCGGCGCCTAGCGGACATTACCATTCGCCGAAACCTGCACATACGTACTTCGTTGCACAATAAGCCCTCAGGCTGGACAGTCGCCTCACAGATGTCAAGACCTGCAATGGAAGCAGTTGTAAACTTTGTACATGTATGACGTTACACATTACATTCGAACTCGAAAACCGCATAGCAATCTGAACAGATCTGGGGTCGAGGCGGGGGGTTCGGCGCGCTAGGAGGCTACATTCGTCGGCGATAGCATACTTGAAATACTAATGGTACAAGCTACGTACGGCATACCAAGAGCCCAAGAGGGAAAGGGACGGGAGACATGGGATGTCGAATCCTATATCACGGGGGCAGCATAACAGGGTCCTGTCGAAGAGTTGGAATCGAAGGCGAAGAGTATGATACATTGGATAACTTCGTTGTGGGATCGTTACGTGGCCTCGACACCGCGACTATCGCTGACGTCGTCGCTGGCACGAGGCAGGGCCTGAACGGGGAGCGTCGCAGGCTGGGTTGGCGGGAACCCGGCATACTGGTGCTGCCACGTGTAGCCGGGATATTGAGGAAAGTACGGATAAGCGCCGCCAGGGGCGGGCGGTCCTTCGCCGTAGCCGTGATACGAGCCATGCGACCCTGAGGCATGCGATGACCCCGGATAAGAGGATGACGCAGAGGCTGGTGAGGTCGGAGAAACCGACGAGGCTGGCGGTGGGGCAGACAAGGGGTATGCGTAGGTGCCCGAGCCGGTGGTAGATGGCGGCCCTTGCTCGGACGACGAGATGGTGTACGCCGGGTAGTAGCTCGGATACGACGCGTACTGAGGTTGGGGGCTCAGTTCCGGGTATGGCGAGACAGGCGACTCGGACGATGGGCTGTGAGTAGAGTCCTCGGGTGACGACGGCCCTCCACCGATCGAGTTCTTCTTGCGCGATCGCTTGGTGGTGGTGGAGCCCGGGCTGTTGTAAGGGTCGTATCGCTTGGCGCGCTTGCTTGCGTTTGGGCTCGTGGCCTCGCCGGAGTCGGTGGAGATGGGGACCTCGGTCAAGATTGGAAGCCGAGTGTTGGACAAAGACGCCGGGACGAGGCGGGGCGAGGTATCTGCGCCATCGTCCGACTCGCCGCAATATCGCGGGATGCCGTCGACGCCGATCTCGACCTTGGGAGGATTCCGGAAATGGGTCTTGTCCAAATATTCCGGGCTGATCTCGAGGGACGATAGCTCTGGGATCGACGAGGGGGTCCGGAGTCGTCCGGACTCCACGTCTTCGACCTTGTAGTACGAGATTAGATGTTGCGAGACTCCGCCGATGGTCAAGGAGAACGTCTGCAACGATTGAATGTGAGCATATGCAGCGTGAGAACTTCAGCAGTGGTTCGAGACATCAACCGGGAGAAACGGCAAACGGAAGAGCAGATACGGCGGCGACATCCAGCACCATCGCGAGCGCTTCAGGAGACCTTCTTACATGTCGCAGACGGAGGGATCAGAAGGGCGAGTGTCCGGGCAAGGGGGCGAAAACCTTGGATTGACAGAGGTTTCAACCACAAGGAGTTCGCAAGTACCATGACACGGAGTATCCAAACATAGGGTGATAGAACCTAATTTACTCACCTTCTTCATGAGCCCATTGGGTTTGAATTTGTAGCTGTTCGTGAGGCTGCCCACGAGAACTCGCTCTCGTTGACGGTCGACTCCCATACGTGTCGAGTCTCCCTTCGGCCTGCTCAGCGACTGGGGGTCGGCATCGGGCGCATCTGCGACCGGTTCGGGCTCCGTCGGTTGTGGTTCTGCGCGACGATGGCCGGCGCCTCGCTTATCGGTCTCGCGATAGAGCAAAAAGTTGCCCAGGATCCTGCTGGGGCTCCAGAAGAGCCCGTCGGTCCAGCGCTTGATGCCGCTTTCGTCCTCGTCGAACACGAACACGGACCCGGAGGTGATCATCTTCCGCTCCGAGTCGACGAGCCGCCTGGTGACTCTGGGGATGACGCCGCGACGGGCGGCCTCGAGGATGAGGAGGGCGTCGCCCGTGGTTTCGATCCAGCCGCTCCAGGGAGGTTCGGTCCAGCCGCTTGCGGGTTGCTGGCTGCCGGTAGACATGCTGAGCTGGCGGCCATCGGGTCGGGATCCATGGGGGTATTGGTTGCGGTCCAAGGGGGTGGGTCCGGTAGGCGAAGCCCGTGATGGACGTCACCGACGACCACGAGATCGGGGCAGGGCAGATTGCAAGGAACAGAGAAGAGGAGATGAAGTTTAGACGAGGAGGCACAAAGTTCGAATTCTGAGTTTGCACGCACCCGGATGATTTGTCGGAGGGTATGAGGAAAACAGAGCTTATTTGGGACGCGCCACGACCCTGAGCGGATAGTCTTGCTTCTTTACTCACTCGATCACTGGTCGCTATTCATCCGTCCACTGAATCAGCAGTTCGGACCAGGCAATGGCAAAGGGGAACGATGGCAGGGAGCAAAGAGGACCTGGGCGTGGTGGTGGCAGGCAAAGGCGTGGATGGCGGCTACCAGAACGGGCTGGGCGCCATAACGGGCTAGCGCGGCGGCTTTCGTCAACGCGGCCCCGTGAGGATACACAGCGCCAGGTTGCTCTCGACCTTCCATCACCGGGCACACTCTCAATTACATCCACGCCCGGATTCCTTTGCGATTCCTGCTGATTGCTCCGTCGAAATCGCGCACGGGCGAAATGTTTGATACCCAGCGATACACGCCCTCTCTTCCGCCCAATCCCAACGCACCGCAGCACGATGACGAGCCCCAGAAGGCCACGCAGCCAGCGCAGGGCACTTCATAAAAGTCTTAATGAACCGAACGAGAAGCCAGCTATCGTACCCTGCATGCTCTCACGTGGCGCTTCGAGATCAGGGAAGGCGCGAAATACGGACGCGAACAGACCGCAGGGAACTGGTCTGCCTACATACTGAATACGCCACACCCCGTCTTTGCCTCCGAGTCGCAAGCTGTACGACGGTATACGGCGCCGCTCGCGCTATCAAAACGATGCTATCTCAACGACCAAATCGACTGCATGCAGTCTAGCAACATCGAGCGGCGTGCAGGCTAGACCGTGGCGCCGTCGCCACCAGTGTGTACGTTATCCCGGACCGGGTCCATGGTCGTTCGGTGAACAGCACGAGATCCCGTCGGTTCTCTTGCCACGAGGACGGCCGAAGGACATTCCAACGATGCGTTCGCGATTCGCCACGTCCTCTACGTTCAGGGTTGGCGCAGAACATCGTAACCAGGTAGCAGTAGAGGGACGCAGACTGGCCGCGCCGAGTTAGCCCAGAGGAAGGAGGAATGCCTCCATACGGAGGCATGCTGTGGCCAGCGTCAGCGCCTGTGGCGTATCTACGGCTACATGTGAGTTGCCTTGTATCACGAATTCGGTCCCCTCGGACGAATCTCGCCTCTTGCTGTACTAACCGAATCTCATTCCAGCTCAAGCCGCTCTCACGATGATCCCGCATCAAGTAAGTAAAGTCCCCCCAAGCTCCGTACGCCGCTGAGCCACATGACCTAGCTCGTGCTATCTTTGACGTCGGCTCTCCTTTCTGGCGTTCAGACTGAACGGGCTGATGGATGTGGCTGAGCGCTACGAGCGGCCGGTTGCACGGTATTGAGAGGGGACATCGGATCGGTGGTGGCAACGACGCTCGGTCATCGATCCTCGTAACGATGGGCGCTATATCTACTGGCGCACTTCCAGCGACGGAGTACTGACGTGGTTTGTCTGAAGATTAACATACGATGAAGGGGCGTGCCTGTCTTCTCTAACATTGGACTGCGGGGTTTATGACCGCGAGACATTGTAGGGGTGAGAATCGGATGTCTCCGGCCACCAAGGATATTCGAAGAGCTGTGGAACCTAAGATCTACAAGTTAGTTCTCCGCTGACTTGAAATCAGGCATGTCGTTTGCTATCTTGCGGCCAAGCTATTGATGGGATCCTGATGGTAGTGACGGGACTGCCTACGCATCGACTGAGCGACTTAGACTGAGACTGGCTGTATTTGTGTTCAGAGTCATCTCAGGAACCCGAGCAAGTGCGAGCATCGCCAGCAAGCGGCTGAAGTTTAGCACTCGAGTGAGCGAGTGCTCCCAGATCCGGAACATGGAGAGAACCTCCTTTCCGAGCCCTCGACCACCCCGCGGCTTGCGCACCCATTTCAAATCGTCCGTCCAATCGACCGGTCCTTTCAAGGGAGGAAAGGGATGTAGCGGCGCCTGATGGAATGTTTCCGCGGTGCCTTGTGGTACACCATGCGAGGGATCCATGTGCAACGCGACGCAAGGCACCCAGTGGAAGCAGCCTAACGGATGTATTTTCCCAGTCGATCATCCTCAGCCGACGACACGCATTCCGTGATCTGGCAATGACTTCTGTCTCAGGCACCATGATTCCGGATCGCAAAGCCGTATCAATATTGACCATCCGTTCCGCCGCCGGTATTTCCATTTTTGCATATGCGCTTTGTCACCTGGGAATGAGACTTTCTTACAGGCGGGCATCTCGATGTTGCCTGTATAACGTTAAGCTCGCCGCATACGGTTGCTCATGTCGTCGGACAGGCAGCGGTTCATGGATTTAATGAATGGGTTCGCATAACATAACGTTCGTGGACGATTGCAGCCGCCGACCGCTTGGGCATTTCCTCGGAGGCTCCATCTCACGCAAGCCTGGAGCGTGGCAGTGCCGTTGCGGAGGGTTCTCATGTTCTTCTTTACCTTCACGACGCCATATGTCTTGACATGATCTTGATCTTCGTGGTGATCTATTCACAGGTCAAAGGCACCCGACGTGCTTACAGAACCTGCCTTACCACGATGGTAGTGCCGGTGTGGCGCCAATTAGGATCTTCCTTCCGCAGGGTCCTTGCCGAAAGCGTAACACATTGCTCCGTTCAATGCCTCTCTTCGAGAACACCTTCAAAAAGTCATAGTGTTCTGAAACCGCTCTCGCCGCCACGGCTGGCCAACGCAAACCTAAGTTCATTACGGCGCACGTCACAACTTGATTGTTCTGTGAGCCTCGTGCTTTGTTTCTCTTACGTTGTCGATTGAACGATCAATCAGGCATCCAGCGGCATCGGCCCGTATTGACGGTTTCTGCGAGAATGATCATGACCAATTTGTCGAGCGCCAAACATCGGTGAAAGCTGCCATAGATCCGGCTGCCCAGTCTAACTCGAGGACGGCGGTGAATATTTTTCTTCCGGCCAGGCTTACCCGCGTATCGAAACGTTCCCTTGGAAGATCTAACAGTGGCCGATGAGCAAGGACCAAACTGAAAACCGGACAAATGTTTGGGACACTATCTGCGCTGCCACGCTTCGCAGAGCTTTCCTTGATCGGACACGCGCTACTCCTTTGGGGAAACATGTTCATTCGGGCGTACGCTACCATGAAGGCGATAAACACGGGGTGTGACGTGCTCCGCGTTGCGAGCCCACGAGTTCGGCAGCTGCCGGGCCGGGGTAACTGCTGGTCACAATCACGCACGGAGACGCGAGCTTACTGGAGGTGCGCCCTCAGAATTCGAGAAGCGGGTGTGACACGCCGATCAACTGAGTTCTATTTCCTTACCGAACAGGCATGCACCGCGCAATTTGCTTGCAAGAAAACACCCGACAGCCTCGCAGAATATACTTCGGCATGAATTCCCCGACATAGATATGATGTTGGCGCCGCCGATGCGGCTGGTCTGTTACTGCTCAGCCCCGGATACATTTAGCTTCCGGTACCTGCATGCCATCTCCGGTCGATGCTGCTTGGACGCCGGCACAGTACCCCAGCGCCCTGTCGCCGCCCATCCATCCCACCGAACGCCGTGCGGTCCTGCCATCTTTATTAGGAACAATCAGTCCTGGTAGTTGCATCCGACAGCTCCCCATCGGGACCCCGACGTACGAGGCCCGTCTTATACGTTAGTCCAGAATGTCCCTAATGCTGGCCAACACTAAGTGCGTGGAACGCGGCTCGACAGCATATAAGGCCCCCTCGCCGCGCATTGGACCACATGGCATCTCGGATCCCCAAGATGTCGGCCCCCAGTGCTGCCCTCTTTGTGTCTTCGTTACTATCCGTGAGTCTTTGAACGACTGGTCCGTGTTGTGCGCACAGCTGAGGTTTCGTCAGGTAACCAATGCCGTGCATATTGTACCTCGTCACTCGTTTAGTTCTCGTGCTTCTGTCCCTACAAAGCTGCCAGGCAACTGGACCTCGAAAGGATGTTGGACGTATGTCTCGCAGATGTCCAGCGTTGACCAGTCTAAACTCTCGATCCATAGCGACGACACTGGCTCAAGGACCCTTGGCGCCGCGTCTTTCACCGACACCGCAAACATGACAGTCGAGAATTGCATAAGCTTCTGCGATAAACAATCATTCATCTTTGCGGGAATTGGTACGTACACTGGTACACAGCGCTCCGGTCTTCCGCTGATCATTTGCAATCTACTCATAGAATTCGCTCAGGAGTGTTGTGAGTGCCTGAGAATTGATATTCTTGGATGATGCTGTGCAGATCTTCGCTGACACGCGGAACACAGATTGTGACAACTTCATCAAGAGCAGCGCTGCACAGTCCCCTTTGACTGACTGTTCTGATGCTTGCACCGGCAATCCGAATGAAACATGTGGCAACGCCAATCGGCTCAATGTCTTCTTCAGCGGTGGTACGCCGCCTCCGGCCCCTTCGACGATCCCGAGCGTGGGTCTCTGGAAGTCTCTCGGATGTTACAAGTAAGCGATTCCCGATAATCTGACGAACAACGCGGCTGAAATCAATTGATAGTGATTCTACGGCAAACCGCGTGTTAGGAAACCCGGCTGCCCCCGTCGGTGCGGTGACCGTGGAAACTTGCACGACTGCTTGCTTCAATGCCGGGTTCCCGTTGGCTGGCATGGGTGAGTGGCGGTGACTTTGTATGTCGGCAGGGAGCTGAAACCCGGACAGAGTACGCCGATGAATGCTGTGAGTTCTAGATATCCTCATCCGAGGAAATGTTCGCCGATGCGCGTGTATACAGATTGTGATGCCGCGATAGAGAATGGCGGGGCGCCGACGCCTCTTGGAGATTGCGACATGACCTGTGCCGGTATGTGTATCGCTGCGGACGGTCTGTCGTCACAAGCAGGTGTGATGTACTCACTCTTCTTTCCAGGCAACTCAACTGAGTTCTGTGGCGGGTCGAACAGGCTGAACGTATACAACTACACGGGCACTGACCTTCCACCTCGAACGCCCGGCAATAACGGGGGTGGTGGTGGCGGCGGCGGCAACAACGGCGCCCCAGTTTTCCCTGTTTTGTCCGGTCTTCCTTCGGGGTGGACGTACGCCGCATGTTATGTGTAAGTGACATACAGAAGCGCCTACGCTGATCATATTCTAACCTGTCTGGTGCAGCGACAACGCCAATGGCAGAGTCTTCACGACTGAACTCAACGATAATCCAACTTTGACGGTGGAGGGCTGCATCAACAGCTGCCGATCGCAAAACTTCACGTTGGCAGGAATGGAGTTCGCTGACCAATGCTTCTGCGGAAACACGCTGGTAAACGGCGCCACTGTCGCCACCGATCCAACTACGTGCAACATGGGTTGCGCCGGGAATACAACGTTAGTTTTAACGTCACCTGTTTTTCCTGTTTGATGTTTCTAACTTCGATTGTGACAGCGAAGCTTGTGGCGGGCCCAGTCGCCTCTCAGTCTACACCTCTACAGCGAAAGTGACAGCGTTGCCTGTCCCAACGGTGTTGAATAGCAGTCTTCCCGGGAACTGGAAGTTCCAAGGATGCTTGATGTATGTTGCACGCTACGCTACGTATGGCCGTCGTCTAAGCTCTTTCGCAGGGACGGCGCTACTCGCGTATTTCCCTATCAAAACATTTGGACCAACAACAACACTGTTGAGGCTTGCCTGACGCAGTGCTCAGACTTCGGCTATCCGGCCGCCGGAATGGGTATGTGCTAAACTATTCGAGTCGATTCCGAATGCTCAATTCATTCATAGAATTTGGCGACGAGTGCTGTACGGTATCGCATTCATAGCAGGTTCTTGACGTGCTCACATTGCTGTAGGGTGCGGAGACGTATCGGACGTCACCAACAACCCCAACGGTGGCCTCGCCCCGGAGACAGACTGTTCTGCCCCCTGTTCGGGTTAGTCATTCGCGCTGAGTAAGTTTGGGATTATATTTTTACCGTCTCTAGGCGACCCGATTCATCTCTGCGGAGGAGCAAATCGCCTGCAATACTATCAATACGAAGGTGGTCTCCAAACTTGGCACACTCCTTCCAACATTGGACGTTATGAGGTATATCAGTTTCCAAGGCCACAAGTTTGTCGCTGATCACGCTTCAGTTCCTCATCGGAGGGGTCGTCGTTCCCTTACTCGCTACGGTAAGCCCTCGCTTACGTGCATAATGCTCACTTGCTTATCTGCATCGACGCGCAGGTTGGTATCAACAATAAGGTGTCGTTCCTGGAAAAGTTCCCTACTTCGGAATTTGGGAACTCCACCGGCGCATACGAGCTTGATTTGAGTCTTGTGGACAATTTCGATCTTGCTTGGAGAACCATGCACGTGCAATCCGATGTGTTCTGCTCGGCCGCGATCGTGCTACCAGACAAAGCCGCACGCATACTGAACGTCGGAGGGTGGTCGCTGGTAAGACCTTTCCGCTGCGCAAGTTGTGTTCTGATGCTGACCAAGTTGCCGATAGACATCTACCTTTGGTGTCAGAATGTATGCTCCCGACGGATCGCCTGGAGTTAACAGTACCAACGATTGGGAGGAAAACCCTCAAGAGCTATTATTGCAGGTACTGTACTCTATCAGGAGGATACCGTCAAGATGCTGAGACCCGTTCCAGCGTGGACGCTGGTATCCGAGTGCTGTGCTATTGGCTAATGGCAGTGTTCTTGTCGTGGGCGGCGAAACTGGCAGCAACGCCCCTGCAGATCCCACATTGGAGGTCCTCCCAACCCCTGCAGGCGGACCAACATGGCTTTTCATGGACTGGCTCAACAGAACGGTAGGCACCCACATCGCCCGGAGTCCAATCGAAGTTGTTCACCCACATGTGGCTTAGGACCCCAACAACTTATACCCGTTCTTACATATCCTGCCCAGTCATAATATCTTCGTTGGTACGTGTATCGAACATGTTACTGTTACGGTCTTCTGACCGCCTTCCAGGATACTACAACGAGGCTCGCATCCTTGTAAGTTGTCTTCACTGCTGCATTTCAACGACTCAGATTTCTTTGCCGCAGGAACCGGTCACGTTCACAACAGTCAAAACGTTGCCCAACATGCCCGGAGCTGTCAACAATTTCTTGGCTGGTCGGACGTATCCTATGGAAGGAACAGCTGTCATGTTCCCTCAGCACGCCCCATATACGGACCCGGTGACTATTCTCGTGTGCGGTGGTAGCAACGGAGTTGCCGCGCCTGGCTTGGACAGCTGCCTATCGATTCAACCGGAAGTAACCAACGCTGCGTGGACACTAGAGAGGATGGTATGTCCAGGTTTTTGTACTTACGGATTTTTGTTGACTCTGTGACACCAGCCGAGTACTCGTGTCATGCCCTGCATGGTGGCCCTTCCTGACGGAACGTTCATGATCCTGAACGGTGCCCATACCGGCGTCGCGGGCTTCGGCCTCGCCGATGATCCGAACCTCACTGCAGTCCTTTATGACCCTTCGCAGCCAGTCAACTCACGTATGTCCATCCTCAACACGACCATCGTCGCGAGGTTATATCACTCTGAGGCGACGCTCCTGCCTGATGGCCGCGTACTCGTATCTGGGTCGGATCCTGAATCGCAACCACCTCAGGACTTCCCCCAGGAGTTCCGCATTGAGGTTTATATCCCTCCCTACCTCAATCAGGGATTCAAGCAGCCGACCTTCACTATCACGGAGACCGACTGGGAGTATGGTGGTACTTACCAGATCAAGGTCCAGTTATTCCAGGGAACAACTTCAACGATGAGAGTTTCGCTTATCGCGGCAACTGTAAGTCGTACTTTTGGCTGTTTGATTTGTCTCCACTTATCATATTCGGCGTCAGAGCAGCACACACGGAAACATGATGGGTGGCCGCACGATCTTTCCAGCTTTCTCGTACGTTACCGCCTCATGTCTCGCTTGTCATCTTATCCTGATATCACTTGTACATGATCAGCTGCTCGGGAACCACATGCACCATCACCGCTCCTCCCAGCGTCGGCGTTGCTCCGGCGGGATGGTTCCAATTATTCGTTCTCGACGGCCCGACGCCCTCTCACTCTCAGTGGGTGCGCATCGGTGGCGACCCAGGACGGCTAGGAAATTGGCCCGATCTGCCAGGCTTCACTCTTCCTGGAATTTAAACCAATACACGGATCGGTATGCCTCCGATCCATGTTGTTCTTCACCTCGCACTTTTCTGCATGGACAAAACGATCTTCCATAACGACTAATATCTGTGAACTCGGACTTCAGGACTGTGACTGTACCTACTGGGTGACCCTATTCTGTGCTCGTACCATTCCTTTCTGTCTCATTAATCGGATAATAGGGTCGCTTCATTCGTTCAATCCGTGGATCTATCAATATATGCGTAGTACATACAGTCTGGTGTTGTAATGTTGCTCCTGGAATATGGACTGGAAACTTTAAGTCGCCTTTCGAGTACCTCATATCGTATGCCTCGGTCGAACGCAGCGTGTTCATGTTTGAGCGTTGCGTGAAGTAAGAGGGTAGCAAACTATTGAACTTGCGAGCCTCGCCCTGGCCTATGTCGCACGGGTGGTTGCGCGAGTAGGAACTTGTTTGCCTCAGCTTCATGGACGTATTCGAGATCCCGTTGACTTAAGCTTCGGGTGGAAACAAACTTATTTTTGGCAAAGTGGTAGCCACCATGTAACCTAAGCAGACAGTCAACGACGACGTGAATAATGTACCAATGTACTAGCTACATGCAGATTCGAGGGGAGCGCATTCATCGTTCATCCATCGTATCTCTCTACTAACTATCGTGTGTAAAGACAGCTCGCGAACAGCGCGATGATTTATTCGTATATGCGAGCGTCCGCGAAGTAGTATATATCGTACCCAAGATCCCCTTCTATGACCAATCTATGCCCAATATACACGGGTGAAAAAAGACAGTAAGCAAAACGCACAGATTATGTCCATGCTCGACTATAGCATCAGGTGCGGGCGTGGCCTATGCGCCGGACAACAGATGATACAACAGAGTATATGCGGCGAGCGTTTTCAGTAGGAGAAAACCATGAGAGACGGGTTGAGTACGATCTGATTAACGACAAAGTCAGCTCTCAACTTCGACAGCCAGTCGCATGCGGACGTACGGGGAACAAGATATGGCTCGCGGTGGAGATGACGAGAGGCATAATCAAACTCCAGTCCTCGCCAGGGATGGCCCAATCCGCGGGCACCAGCGGACTCGCGAGGATGGCAATTCCGGCGATGAACGTGAGGCTGACGGCAAACGCAAACCAAAAGCGCTTAAAGATACGGGGGACTTCGAGGAAGAAGTTGGAACGTTCGACCTCCTTCTTGGTGGCACCCCAGGTGATATTGTATGAGAACATGTGCGCAAGGAGGGCGATGCTGAGGTGAAGGCCGAGCCCTCCGAAGAAGAAGAAACTAGAGAGAAGTCGAGGCGATCAGCTTAGCTATGAGATCAATCCGCGCTTTCACTCACAAGAAAGGCACCCATGTGATATTCTCGACCATCGAATCCCACATGTTACGGTGACCAAGGCGATATTCGAGGAGCTAGCACCAAAGGTCAGAGGCAATAGAGTCGAACCAGCAGTAATCACATACCGTGTACCCGAAATTGCCGAGGCCGGGGAAGACGACGATGCAAGCGAGCCAGATCTCAAAGCTGTGCATGTAAAATCCGTCGACTTCATAACCCCAGCCGAGGATCAGGTAGTTCATGACCGACAAGGTAAAACCGATAGCAATGCCTTCATGAAGAGTCAGCGTATATATAACGATGCGTTAACAGGAGAACATACCGTAGTATGAGAACATGTACGACATCATGCTGACTTTGTAGTGCACCGGCGCATCGCTCCAGACGAAGATCCTGAGCTGCTTGTTGATGGGGCCGAGCCGCCACCAGTCCTTGAGTGGGTTGAAGATGAGCTCGCTGCAGCCATACGCGTATTTCTGCCAGCGGTTGAGCTCATCGTCGACAGTCAGCGACACGCCCTCCTTAAACCCGCCCTTGGAGTAAGTCGCCCAGCGGATGTTGTACCCTTTAAGTTGCAAACGGAGCGCCATATCGAAGTCTTCGGACACGTTGCTCTCCGACCAGATCTTCTCCTTGTCGTCCGCGGTATCGATGAAGGCGGCGTCCTGCACGGCGGACCAGCGAAGGAACGCGTTGTGGCCCACAAACGGCGCAACCTCGCCGTTGGCGCAGGCGAAAGAGATGCACTTGTTGATGCGGCGCGTGAAGTGGGCGATACCGTTCTCGAAGAAATCGTGCGAGACTTGCATCACGTCCGACTCGTGTTGGATAATCGCCACTTCGGGACATTCGGCGAGTTCGCGCGCCGCATCGCGGAAGCAGTCCTGTGGGCAACTTTGTTGGCATCGCCACATTTTCACTCAGCACTACAGAGCTCACCTCGGGAACGACGGTATCCGAGTCGATGATGAGGATGATCTCGCCTATCCTGCACGATTTGCCGTTGGCGGCCCAGGGCTTCCACCTCCGCCCAGTTTCCTCGTACGTCTCCTCTACCGCCATATTCAGCGCCTTGTCCTCCAAGGTCGAACCCTCGATCTGATCCGGGTTCACCGCTCGGGACTCGAGCGCGGCAAGGTGCTTCTCGAGCTTGAGCGAGAGCGCGAGGCCGTAGTTCATGTTGCTGGCCTTCTTGAAACGACCCGCGCGCTTGAAGCCGTCCGGCGCGTTATCGTGTCCAGGGCGTGCGACCCAGCCAATGTTATGATCGGCGTAGAACGCGACGCGCGCTTCGCGCTCCTCAGGTGAGATGAGCTGCAGACCGTCGTCGTGCACAAAAATGGCGGAGGTCCCACCCTGCCGGGCATAGGTCTGCATCGCTTTCTTGAGAGAATAAACCGAGGGCGCGCTATAAATAGCCTTATGGTCAGCGGCAGTATTAAGGGGTACACATGGTTCTCCCTTACATGGTCTGCTCCAGCGATTCCTTGTACACGGGCATCTCGATAGTAATGTGCGGCAGTGCGGCATCCACAACCTTGTTCTCCAGCGGCTTCTGTGCCGAGTAATATTTGGAGTTTTCGTGGAACTGTGCGACGGGCCCGATACAGAAAGCGACGTTCCCGAGGAGTTGCAGACAGAAGAACTGGTAATCAGGAACGAGAAGTCCCCCATCAGCGATCCGCGCGAAGACACGTATATGAAGTAGGATGGAAGAAGGCGGCGTGGAAAGAGAGGAAAGCACTCACGAGTGATATGCAGAACAGGAAAGGCGTCGTGACGAGGAGTGCGAAGCGCTGCCAGGTCCCATCCAGAACATGCTCGGTGATGAGCATGTTGACACCTTGAGCGACGAAAACTGCAAAGAAACGTCAGTAGATGGACTTCCAATGTAGCGGGCCTATACTCACGTGTGGAGAGCGCGACAGCGAGACCGCCTGAGAACGGTGCATACAACCTGCGTTGAATTGGATGAGCTTCCTGACCTTAGGAGAGACCAAAGGAGAATGAATCACCTTTGCGGTCTCGGCTCCTTGCCACCCTTCTCCGCGATGTCCTCGCGATCGACGGACCTCGACCACGGCCAACGTCCCTTCTTCTTGCCGGCCTTCTCCCGGTTCTTGAGGATGGTCTCCACCTGCGCCTCGAGTGCCTCCCTCTTCTCCTCCGCGTCGTCGAACGCGGACTTCTCGTTCAGGTTTGCTTCCGAGCCTGCTGTGGACGCAGGACCGGCGCTGCCCGAGTACGACAGAGTGGGGAGCGCGGGGCGGATCTTCCATACGAGCTGGATGAGCTTGCGGTCGAACTCCTGGCAGAGGCCGATGATGTTGTCGAGGTTGTCGGACCATACGACGAGGACACGCTCATCTCGGACGAAGGCGCCGCACTGCTCCTTGTCGGCATGCGGGAGGTGCGTCATCGTCTCGACGATCTGGATACGCGTCTCGGAGTCGACGTAGATCGCCGGCGCGGTGGGCGGGCTACACGAGGAGCGGTGTTAGTGAGCTGAGAGAACTCCATGGGAGTCGGAGTACGTACACAGAGCCGAGCGCTGCATGGACTGCGGCGGAACGAATCTTCACGGCGACGGCAGGGTTTAGAGTTCGGACGGCTTCTTCGAAGGGGCCGAGGTAGGGGTTCTGATACGGGTTTGGCCACGTGTTGCGGTGGTAGTATGACATGACTTACCTCGTACGGGAAGACGCGGAAGTGTCCAGTCTCGACACGAAGGCATACCCCGGCAGAGACATTCTCCTCCGAGGGCTTGAACCTATGCGAGTGTACATCAGCACACATACAGTCGACGCAAGATGGAACCATTTACCAAGCGTCACCTTGAGTGCGCTTGAAGACATGGTGGAGGAGTGCGTCATATGCGTCGTAGTCCATGGCGGCTGCAAGGGAAGGCTAGCAGATAATGATTGTGGTGGACTATGTGACGGACGGCGACGACGACCGAAGAAGGACCGGAAGGGGAGGAAGGGAGGAGGTCACTCTGCAAACCGGAGGGCTCGCCAGAGATGAGGGACTTTCGCAACATGGCCCGATCGTTTTATACAAGCGGCGTGGATCAGCGCGTCCGGGCGTCGAAAAGCGACACGGCAGATGCACAGGGGAAACGCCAGCTGCGCGCGTTTCCCGAGATCGGAGCTGGGAAGGCACTGCGAAACGGGTCGGTCCGTGGGAAAATTGGTGCGCGTTATCGCTCGACCTGGCGAGCTGACAGCTGCCCACCCTGCCAATCGCAGGTCCCGCCCACCTGGAATTTGACCAGGCTCTGCATGTCAATCTGTGTTTCCGTCAGAAAGTTTCGGCCACCGCCCCCAATCGGAAGGTCGGAGATATGCGGATGTAGTGGCTCGGGATGGCCTGGACAAAGCTCCAGGTGCGAAAATAATGGCCTTCCGATTCGAACGAGTACGGTTGATTGCGCGTCGAATCTATGGGCTCCATGTGGACGTCGGGGATAATCTGGAAGTAGAACTGAGCGGATCCGGAGGTAATTTCGGCATCCATCGTTGGACCGAGGCGGGGGTGCAACAAGACGGGACCTAGCGTCTGGAGCATCAACAAGGGCATTGACAGATGAGAATAGCTGTAGCGACGCACACCTGAGAACAAGTCTCGCTGCGCCTGTTCAGTCGCTGAACAGGAACTGTAAGAACACCGACGTCTAGGCACGCTTGCCTCTCAAATGAAACGTCTAATGGACAGTGAGCCTTGTCTGTTCCTAGACGTCCCTCCGAGTAACGCCTCGCCTCCAAATGGAATCGCGGTTCCCTCGGAACAGTTGCGGGAACGACTCTTCACTCCCGCGCGTGTCTGATCTACTCAAGATCAGAGATCCAAGAGATCGACGTATGTGGTGGGCCTCTCTCACCGTCGGCGCGCGTACCGCCGCCCTATGCGTCCGGCATAGCTTGCTGCTGTTGTTCTTTGTCTCTGATCAATCTCCGCCCAATCGTGTTGAACATTTTCGCGCGCGGACGTGATGCGTAGGTTCCGTCAGCAGTCAGGGCCCCGCCTCGTCCGACGGTCCGATCCCGGAGCACGAACGAACTCCGCTCCATTGGCGTTTTGCAGGTTGGAGTGGTCCAATATCCGGCGAAGGCAAGCTTCCGACCCCGATTCCCCGTCTGCTGGATTGTGCGGCACTCTAAGGCCACGATGAACACGCGCGGCGTGTCCACCGACGTTCGAATAACCCGGCGTACGTCATGGGTTGCGTCGTACGATGACCAGTTCGCCCAAGGCGTTGGTGTTGGCATGCGCGTCGACATACTCACGCATTCATCATCCGGCAAACGGAGAGAAGAGCAACACAGAGATGTGGATGTGATGTCGAGGCACGGGAACTTGAACAGAGAGACAAGAGCTGAGCTGGCCGAAGCCGAGCCTATAGTTACCATAAACGGCAGGTGCGCGCAACAAATCTAAGCACAGCCACAGCGGGTTGGCATCACGCAAGTCTCCGGAGCCTCCGTCGCGCACATCCTCGACGAATACCCGTACTGTTTTTGCAATGTTGGGAAATCTTGTCTCCCGCCTCTTCGAAATCGAGGCACTCGAACTCGCGATGCACTTTTTGAACTAGTGTTTGAGGGTGACGACTAAGAATGCATTGACTGCATGCCTCGATCTCAAGCTATTCTCGAACACGACCACGACGAACGCGACGCCTTCATTCCTCGTTTCTCTCGGGAGCTATCTCGCGACCATGCATACTTTTACGCCTCCGGTGCAGATTGGAGGAAGTGCGCATCAATTTCGATATGTCCATTGGCAAGCCGCAGCTTGAGCCCAAAGCAGCGCGAATGAACATGACGTCGTCTCATCCATGTACGAGAACTTACGACACAAGCTTCCGCAATGTAGCACTAAAAAGACAAACAGGCTGACATGGACGCGCATATTCGCCGTCTGCACCGCCGAAGCTAGATAGATACGCATGCCAATCGCGCCGTCGTCGTCATGCATGCCGGCACGAACGTTGCCCAACGCCGACAACACCGACCATTTGTTCCCCTTCAGCACCTCCTTCCTCTCGACGCTTTCACACTACCGTGTGCGCAGATCTTTCCGATCTCGTAATCTATATCCATTGCTCCCGGGCACCTATCGTAATTGACCACTATCATCTTTGGATATCGTTCCATCCTTGCCTACAACATTCTCTATTCCTTCTTGCTTGTTCCTCATTCCAGTTCTCGTACTGCTTTATGCGCGAGATACTGCGAATCAGCGATGACACCGAAGAAACAGCGACTCGCTCGAAGCACGCATTGACATATAAATACGCACAACGCTCGGACTTCCATGTTTAAATTGTTTCTCTGCACCTTCCAAGGCGGAACATCTCGGCGCTAAAATGGCCTTTAGCTATGCCCACAGCTCGGTGCATTCGATCTTCCTATGTCCTGTGTAAGGCCGCGCTCTCAATCCCATTCCACTCTGGTTCGCGTTCTGATATGGTTTGTTCTTGATAGAGAGGACGGGTATCCATAAGGTATTCCGTCTCTGAGTATAATTCTGTCCGCAGCCCATGCTGATTGTTCATACTCGTATACAGTTGAGCCACCATGCAGGTTCGTTTGGCAACAAAGGCAACCACATCCGCATACGCGTACGGAAAGAGCGGACATGCCACCGGCGAAATAAAGAACCGACCTCGTCAAGGCACCCACTTGCGACCTTCTTGTCCGGTACTTTCCGGGCCAGCATAATGAAGAACTCCCCGGCTCGCGGGAGTGCACGGCGCGTGAACTTCGTGTGTCCCCAGCCCACGGTGAGAGACATATGCTCGCGCCGTGATAGATTACGCTAACGCGCTCCCGACCTGTCAGCGCAATACATCGGTGAAACGAGTTTGCGGCTGTGGTCGCGCGTCTACATACTACCAACAACAGGGCGATGCTGGCACTGCGCGCGAAGCCTAGAATTGGTTGCTGCTCCACTGCCTAAGTAGGCTGTCCGAGCTCACCGACGACAGTGTTCGTTGCGGAGGGCTGAGCGCTGAACGTTGCATCGACGTCAAACCTTCAGAACCATCTACGGCTGTCCGACGCTGACCGCGATCCTCGAGGCGGGTTCGGAAATGCTCTGTCACCGAACCCAGTTCGACAGACAAGCCCTAGCATCTCATATCCGCACAGTGCCTTGCGCTCCGTGCGTCGTATCTTTGCATCGTATCGCTATCGGGGCGACATGCAGCGGAAGGATGATGCGTGGTCGAAACGCCCGGCTTAACGCCGGCAATTATGACTGGTGATTTGAATATTTTTCACACTCCGCTCCTTTCGGTTCAGATCCGCCACTTGGAGATTGATCGGGTGAAAAGGTGCCAATTACGGGAGGGCTCGTTTACTTCCGGACGACGTGGTCTGCTGTCGTCACCTTGTCCGCCACGTCCTCTCCGGCAACCCTAGCGTCGTACCGAGTCGATGCCCTACTCTGCGAACGAGCGAAGTCACTTACGATATACCTGAGACGGCGACTCGCGCATCTCTGGTAGCCGGTTATCTCGCAAGGTTGCCTGAGGCAGTCCTGGGCCGTCCCACGGCCATGCTTCGGACGCGTTCCCATCCGAAATTGTGCGCCACGCGGATCTCTGGAAAATACCTATGTCAAAAGCCGATGTCACCCCTGGCGTCCATCGATATCCACGAACCGGTTCAGCTCGGCCGCTCATCAACCTGACGTTTCCGGCGTACGCGTGGAAAGTGAGGAGTTCCACCACGGACGTTCTCGCCCCTGGATCTACGCGAGGAGCCTCGATGGCATTCATTTGCACCGCCGAAGCCGCGACGTGTGCCGTTCCCAGCAGCCATCGCGGTTCGAAAGCTGCGATAGATGCCCACCCACCAATGCAGGTGCGCCGTCTACAAAAAGTCACAGCCCGGAAAGATGCAATCCCTCAGCCGCCTCGTGCAGAGTCGCTGGTGCACCTCCTTTTCCCCTCCTCGTCCTCGGTTACTTCAGTCCTTACCACCACCGCTCCCTGATCGACGACGCTCAACGCCATGTCTGCACCCGACGCCAGTCAGAAGCCGACGGTCGGTGCCAAGCGCGCCGAACCGCTTGTCCCGCCGCGCCCGCTGTTCTTCAGCGTCCCCCGCTCCGACGACGCGCACGACCCCATCGACCCCTTCCAGACGCCGAACGGAAGTGTTCGTGACCTCCGCGCACCTATCTCTGGGACTGCTACGCCCTACTCCGAGGATGCCGCGTCGCCTCCCCAGACGCCCGGCGCGGTACCCCGCGTGCAGTCCTCAAGCTCGGTCGGGTTCGTCTTCGGTGCCCAGCGCGAGGGCGCGAGCTACCTCTACCCCGCCCCAGACATCACCTCCCGCTCGAGTGGGATTGTGTCTCTGCGCGGCTCCGCGGTAGATCTCCCTGGCCATGCGCGCGACAGGTCCGTCACGAGCGGTTTGAGCACCTTGGCCAGCAGGCCCGGTACCACTTCCTCTGCTGGAGGCATCGAGGTTAGTCGTCAAATCGGCTGCAATAATTTTTTTTCGATCGCTGATGGGCTTGGTATTGTGTAGGAAACTGACCGGCCGGACGTTCATCGCCGTTTCACGACCGGTCCTCGCCAGGCCTTCGCCGCCCCTCCGCCTCGCCCGATGACGCTGTACACCAGCGCGAGCTACAACGCTTCGGCAGCCGATTCGAGCACCATCGACGGCGCCAAGATCGCACCCAACGTGCCGGCACCCTCCAAGCGCCTCAAGTCCACCATGCTTACTGGTCCGATCGAGAAGCCCTGGACGGAGGAGAAAGACAAGCTCAAGCGTGCTGCGTACTGGTGCGTGCCGCTCGGCGGCTTCTCCTCGCCGGCGACTGAGGCAAAGGCACTGATGGGCGTTTTTATTGATTTGTTATCTGATTATAGGATTACGTACGCTGTGATGCTTCTCGGAGTTGCCGGCTCGGTCGTGCGGTGCTATTTTGGTTGGAAGCAGGTGCCACGCATCACCAAGCCGCTCTGCCTCGTTCTCGACGACAACTTTGACACGTTCGACACCGAAAACGTTTGGACGCACGAGGTTGATCTTGGCGGTTTTGGGTTAGCGTCTCTTCTGTCCTCGTTGACCGAATACAGCAAGCTGACGCGATCATTTCCAGTAATGGCGAGTTTGAGATGGCGACCGCATCGCCCAACAACTCCTTCGTTGAGGATGGCCTGCTTTACCTCATGCCCACCCTGACGTCCGACGTCATCGGCACGAGCGCGATTTTCGACGGCTACACCTACAACCTCACCGGCTGCACGAACGTCAACCAGACCGCTTGTGGTGCGGTATCTAACCACACTGCGGGCACGGTAATCAACCCGGTCATGTCTGCGCGCATCACCACCCAGAAGACGCGTTCCATTCGCTTCGGACGCGTCGAAGTGCGCGCGAAGAACCCGAAGGGCGACTGGCTCTGGCCCGCCATCTGGATGCTGCCGAAAGACAACACGTACGGGCCGTGGCCGATGTCCGGCGAGATTGACCTCATGGAATCGCGCGGCAACGGGCCCAAGTACAAGAACCAGGGTAACAACTATGTTCGCGGGTCACTAAACTGGGGGCCGACGACGTGGATCAACGGCATGTGGCGCACCTCTGGCTTCTGGACTGAGCGCCGCAAGTCGTACGACGACGGATTCCACACGTACGTGCTCGAGTGGACGGAGGACTTCATGTGAGTAATAACATGCGGCATCCGCGAACGTTTGCTGATTTCCGCATCTGTCAATCTTGACAGCCGCATCTACGTCGACACGCGTCTTCACCACATGCTGGACTTGCGCTTCAATGAGCCGTTCTTCAAGCGTGGCAAGTTCCCTTCGACCATCACGAACGGCACGCAACAGATTGTGCTTGAGAATCCTTGGGTCAACGGCGTCACCGTGCCCAATGCCGCGCCTTTCGATCAACGTACGTACGCTCGCGGGGTGTAGCATTCAATCATCGTCGCTAACTTACATGGCAGAATTCTACTTGATCATGGACGTCGCTGTCGGCGGCACCAACGGCTGGTTCCCCGATAACGTCGGCGACAAGCCTTGGTTGGACGGCTCCAACAACGCAATGCGCGACTTCGCATCATCCCAGAGCGAGTGGTACAAGACATGGCCACAGGGCAGCAACGTCAAGGATCGCGCGTTGGTGGTCGACTACGTGAAGATGTGGGAGGAGTGCTAATCTCCCGCGACGAACTCATACACTCTCTTCATAACGTTACATTCACGGGCTTAAGGGACCTTGTTGGTATATTTGTATCGTCATGCTTTTCTCTGGTCATTCCATGGCGCCTACATACGCTCATAGCACGCACACGGTAGATTGGCCTATAGTGAAACCAGCTGTTCAAATAGTGCATATCTTGTCCTGTCTTTACCGGCTCTCGGTTTTCGGTAGATCAAGTTAGAATATCTTAGTTGTTCTCGATAGTGCAATCAATATAAATCCAGTCCCATGTGTATGCAATTCGCTGTCCGCTGCTATGCAGTGTACGCTAGACTTCATGCGATCCTGGACGCTTCGAACCGGGTTCGGCGTTACACTCCGACTCGGCAAGTAGTCTCACGTCGAGGCACCTCGCAGAGATCATTCAAAAGGCTATAGTCTTACACGGTTATTCACGGAATACGCTAGTCCACACACGGTCATATTCACTACGGCATGCCGTCATCGAGTGCTTTGAGTATTTTGCACGAGAACTCTGCAAAGCCACGTTGGATGTAACGTTCCTTCCTTACTCAGAGCCTCGAGGCAAGTTTCATGGGAGCACGGTCTCATAAAAAACGGTACAACTGCGCATATAAACAGTATTAGCGACGGAGATATGTATTTTATGACAATCTCCCTGGCTCTATAGTATTCAGCTGATCCCACAAGGACGTCGACCACACAGCGGAGCGAAATGTGGCAAGCTCTTGTGTTCCAGGGCATTGGCGGTTTGGGTTTGGATATGAACGCTAAATACAGTCCTACTGACACCGAAGGTATTTACGAACACCTAGTGTGAAATGAGAGCCCTTGAGGAGGCATAGCTTGGTGCCTGTTCCGGAACAGGTCCTGTGCGGGATGAAAAGGGATCGATACATGAATCTAGAAGTCAAGGGTCGGTAAACGGAACAAAGGAAGGTGGAGAGCAATGTACCAGGGAGCTGAGGGAATTAAGGCGGACAAGCGAGCGTTCGGTATGCAAGGGGCATCTCGGGCGGTATCACACATAACGATCTTCGGTGTGGAGTCAATTGGAGCTGGACATGGATGTCGGTTTGCGCCGTCGAAAGCCCGGTATAACATCGGATGACGTCAGTACCTTTTCTGAGATTCAAATTCTTGAACAATGCAAGGCTGGGTTGCTGAGTCACGGAGAGGGACAAAAGTGCTTCATCGCGTTCGTTGCAGATTATCGCGTTCCAGGCGAAGACTGGCTATATTAAAAAGCACACGTGGAGCAAGGGACCTGGATGTGCCGCTGGGAAACACCATCGAGACGCACGTCAGATCGTAGCTGGCCGTGTTTGCAACTCGCTCAGCAATCCACGACGAGCGGCTCGAGACGATGCCAATCGAAGGAAAACCCGTAAAGTTTAGGGTCCGGCAGAGACGTTCAGGTACCCCCGTCATGGCTCGTCACTTAAGAAGTTGATGGCTGTTCGTCGAGACACCCCATCCACCCCACTGCTGATAGTTTAGGAGGGAGCTTTGATGAAAATCTTGGCATAATGAGTTCAAGGTGTTAAGACCTATAGCCGCGTGTTAGGCTCCACCGGACACGCGAGTGTAGTAAACGGTCTGTAATTTACCTATAGCCGCGTGTTAGGCTACAGGTCATCTAGTTAATACATGTGTGCGAATGTATGCGGAGATCTCTCACCTCCACCGGACACGCGAGTGTAGTAAACGGTGGAGAGTATGAGACGAGCACGGCGGGCATATCAACGCACCGCACGTGCACCCGTCAAACTGACGGATAGGAGGGATACTCCTCCTGGCGTAATAGTCGTATCCTCACACTCCTCCTCGCCATGGAGACTCCCTCCTCCTCATCTCCAACAGAACCCCTACAGCATGATCTTTTGCAGGCCGAGCAGCGACCGAAGACGCGAGAAGGCGGGGAAGGGGAGAGCTTTCGTAAAGATGTCGGCAATGTTGTCGGCGCTCCGCACGTAGACGAACTTGACGACTCCGGCGGCCACTTTTTCGCGCGTAAAATGATATTGTACATCGATGTGTTTTGTTTTGCCGTGATAGGAGGGGTCCTCCGTAATCGTATTCGACCCTTGATTGTCCGCCGCGATGATAGTCGGACCCGCTTGAGGTAAACCGATGCCGGCGAGGAGCTGGCGGATCCAGACGGCTTCTTTAGTCGCGCTACAAGATGCCACGTACTCGGCTTCGCACGAGGACGTGGATACGGTCGGCTGTTTACGAGAAGACCAAGATACGGAGCCAGATCCGAGAGAGAACGAGTAACCGGACACAGAGCGGCGAGTATCGGGGCAATTAGCATGGTCGGAATCGGTCATGCCGGTCAGTCGGAACTCCTCCTTGCCTCCAAGGACGAGGCCGAGGTCCCGCGTGGACTTGAGGTATCGTAAGACGTGCATCGCAGAGCGCCAGTGCGCGAGCCCCGGATTCGCGAGGAACTGGCTCAAGTGCTGAACGGCGTGAGCGATATCAGGGCGAGTCCCGATTGCCAAGTACATCAGCGTGCCAATGACTTTCCGGTAAGGATACTTAGCCATGACGGCCTTGTCCTCAGCCGTCACGGGGCATTCGAGTCGTGAGTGTTTGGTGCCGGGTGGAAGCGGCGTGGAGACAGGACGTGCATCCTCCTGCCGGAATAAGGTGAGTGCCTTGTCAATCAGCGCCGCCTGCGAGAGAGTGATGGTGCGCATCTCGTAGTCGCGGTCGACGCGTATGCCGACTAGCCAGGAGATCTCGCCGCCGAACTTGATTTCCCAGACGGGTCGTACGGTCTCGACGAAAGCGCCGACTTCTGCCCGATTGCTACCCGTGATAGCGAAATCGTCTACATAGACAGCTGCGATTAGAGTACCGTCTGCGGAAACGTGGAAATAGATGCAATGTTCCGCGTCGAGCCGGATGAACCCCCAGTCGGTCATTTGGTTGTGGAGGTGCTTGTTCCACACGCGCCCGGCCTGCTTCATTCCGTACAAAGACTTCGACACCTTCATAATGTGAGACTCGCGCCCGGGTTCCTCCATGTCGCGTGGTTGGTACATGTAGGCGGGTTTGTCGAGTACGCCGTGCAGGTAGGCGGTCTTGACGTCCAGCTGGGCCGTCTGCCACCCGAAATGGGCAGCGACGTGGAGTACGACTCGAATAGACTCCAGCCGTGCAGTAGGGGACGTACTTTTGTCGTAGTCGACCCCCTGGGTCATCCGGCTGCCGTCGCACACGACGCGCGTCTTATACCTCTCGGGCTCGCCGCTGGAGTCGCGTTTCAGTAGGAACACGGGCATGGTCCGCATAATACGTTCATCGCGGGGGACCTCGGAGCGGGGAACGAGCTCGTAGACACTGAGTTTGCGCAGCGAGGCCATCTCGGAGTCCATGGACTCACGCCATTTTGGCCCGTCATCGCGGGCTAGGGCTTCGCGCGCGGTGCGAGGGTCATCCGGAGCAGAGAGGTTAGGGCCGGCGGGGTCGTCAGAGCTGGCCGCGTGGGCCATGGCATCGCGAACGAGGTTGGCAACGGCGGCATGAGCGGCGACGTCTGAGCGCTCCTCCTCGACTGTAGGAGTAACGCGAGCGGTTCTGAGACGGTCAGCGGAGGCACGAATCTCCGAGACGGTGTCGGCGAGTCGGTTAACGTCGCCCGGAGCGCGACGTTCACGCGTGGAACGCCGAACAGGCGGCGTGGGGTTGGGCGACGGGTCCGTTCGACGGCTCTCCGCAGGCAAGACGGTCGGCAGTGAGTCAGCGGCGAAGATGTCGTCGTGATCGATTGTCGGCGACGCGGCTGGGATGTCAGTGCTCTCGGAAGACCTAGAAGTTGGAGATGCAACAGGCGCCATGCGAGGGAGTTGGTGGGATTCAATGAAGGACACGTTCCGGGACTTCAAGACTTTGCCTGATGCCCGGTGCCAGCACAAATATGCCTTACTGTTGGGGGAGTAGCCTACTAACACGCACTCCTTCGAGCGCGGCAGAATCTTGGGATTAGGAACGTTTTCGATTAGTACGAACGCCCGACACCCGATTTCACGCAGATGGGACACGATCGGCTTGGTGCCGAAGAAGCGTTCGTGGGGAGTTCGGCCGCCAGCAGATACGGTGGGCGTCAGATTCGACAGATAGGCCGCGGTCTGCATAGAGATCGCCCACAGGCAAGGAGGAAGTGCTGCCGCGGACATGCAAGCTCGACCGCGACCCATGATCGTCCGGTGAGCGCGCTCGCACATTCCAATGTGCGCGGATGAGTACGGCGCCGAGAATTGCTGTGACGTGCCACTCGCGAGTTGCGCGCGCATGGCCTCGCTGTCGAACTCGCGGCCGTTATCCGAGCGGTAGGTGCGAACGCGGGTCGACGTCAAGCGAAAAATCTCGTCCTCCCATCGCTTGAGAGCAGGCGTCGAGTCCGATTTGCGAGCAAGCGGTAGGCTCCAGATGTATCCGGAGGACTCGTCGACGATATCCAGTAAGTAAAAGTAACCACCGAGGGCTCGTACATGAAAAGGACCCTGCAAGTCGATATACACCACGTCCAGAATCCCTGCGGCCCTCACCCCCTCACGGACCTTCGGCATGGCGGCTCTGGACTGTTTGCCGAGGATGCAATGGTCACATGAGGGCGGAGCGGACGTCGAGGGGGAGACGGGCATACCGTCAACGACGCCGGCGCGCGCGGCTTGCGATAAAGCGCCGTAATTGGCGTGGCCGAAACGACCGTGCCAGGTGGTAAGAGGGACGGCGGACGCGGCGACGGGGGCAAGAGTGCGGGTGGAGGGGGATGCGCAGGGTTCGGTACCATCAAGGCGGTATAAGCTATTGTTCTTGCGGGTTGCGCGGGCGACGGGTGATGGCTCTAGCTTCCAGTAGACGTCAGCGTGTCCGGAACTGAAGTCGATCCGGTACCCCTGGTCGCATAGGCGTCCGACGGAGAGGAGGGTTAGAGTCGTGTCAGGAACCCAGAGGGCGTTGTCGACCAGCATCTGCCGGCCTCCAGGAAGCGGGATGCGCATGGTACCGACCCCAGACGAGAAGACTTTAGAGCCGTTGAAGCCACCGATCGCGACGCGGAGCGGGCGAAGCGATTCGAAGAGGTGACGGAACTTCGTTAGCGATATGTTCGCGCCGGTGTCGAGGATGTATTCGTGTGACGCGGAGAGGTTGGAATCGATGTTCGCGAGCCGGCGATCCTCGGCGGACATCGCATGGGCAGGCGGAGTAGGCGTCACGTCGACGGCGGTAGCCTGTAGCCAGTCGACGGATGTGGTGTGGACGACGTTGGCGGTGAAACCGCAGTCGCCGAAGTCGTCTTCGCTCCATGACCCAGCGTCGATGTCGAGCAGGAACGGGTCGTCGGGCGTGGTCGCAAAAGCGACCTGCGTGGGCCAATCGGAGACGGCGGCCGCGGCCGCAAAGGATGGCGTGGGTGTGGAAGAGCCCGAGTTTGGCATCGAGGGAACTTCGGTGAAGGTGTAGAACTTGCCGTCTTGACCCTGCATGACTGCGGCATGTGCGCGGACGGCAGTCGAGGTGTTCCGCGACGAGTTCGACAACTTCATGGGCTCGCCGTTGCGGGCGACTGGAGTGGCGCCGGGCTGGTCTTTCTTTGCGCACGGCGAGGCTTCACAAACCTTGCACCAGTAATTCGAGAACATGTGATTATGCCGTCTCGCATCCTTCTTCCCGTTCCCAGAGACCGAGGCTTTGGCGTGCGAAGGGGTGGACTGGGCGCGGACGGCGTTGACGAGCGCGGACGGCTTCTGCCGGTCGAGCACGGAACGCTCGATCTCCGAGGTTGGGACCTTCCGGCTGGCCAGATTGTGCGTCACATTGGCAAGGATATCGGGGAAGTTGGCGCCGAGCGCGTTGATACACACTATATTGACGATGTCCTCAACTGTGGTAGGGAGACCCGCTTCGAAGAGTCGGCGAGCATCTGCCCGTATGGAGGCGATCGTGCCGGACGCGGTCTGATCGGGACCCGGAGAGAACGTGGTCCCGAAGAGCCCGATCCAGATTTCGGCCTTCAATTTGTCGCCGACGGCCTGATGGCGGAGACGGAGGGCTTTCCAGGCGGCCAATGACGTGTCGTGGGAATCGATGATCTCGCGGTCCTCCGGTGACACGTTTCTCCAGAGCAGAGACTTGACGAGCCCATCGTTGTGCCGAAAAGCGCGACGAATGGTCGCTAAAGTGACATCGGCCAGCGCCTCGTCGACGGAGGGGCACGGCGGGGCGTCAGTGTCGTCCAAGTAGTCTCGCAGAAAGATGCAGCCCAGTTCATTCAGAAACTGGGCCGAAAAGGCGACCCAGTTCCCTGCGGCAAGAGATAGCCGGCGTTCCTCCGGTAGGTCGTGGAAACCACTCGCGTTCGTGATGCGAGCGATCTCGGTGTATTTGGCGGCTGTGGAAGCCGTGGATGCCGTGGATGGCATGGTAGCGGAGGTATCCGGTAAAACGATCGTGGGTATGGGAGCGGGAGAGACCGAACGCGAAGCTTGCGAAGGGTCCGGAGTGATAGGGCGCGGGGTTAGCGCCGAACGATCGGAGGTAGCTCGAGTATGCGAAGATGGAGAGTCGTTATCGCTCATTCACCGTTTCAGGTCAGGTCCGAGGGATCTGGTAAGCGATATGCGTTAAGCAGGGCTCATAACCTGTTAAGACCTATAGCCGCGTGTTAGGCTCCACCGGACACGCGAGTGTAGTAAACGGTCTGTAATTTACCTATAGCCGCGTGTTAGGCTACAGGTCATCTAGTTAATACATGTGTGCGAATGTATGCGGAGATCTCTCACCTCCACCGGACACGCGAGTGTAGTAAACGGTGGAGAGTATGAGACGAGCACGGCGGGCATATCAACGCACCGCACGTGCACCCGTCAAACTGACGGATAGGAGGGATACTCCTCCTGGCGTAATAGTCGTATCCTCACACAAGGCACGGTCGCTGCCCCTGCAGGGACCCGAACGAAGGCGGGGCGTCATCAGTCTTCCCAAACGCCACAAGGTTGCGGGCCGTAGGTCGGCACAGTGGGAAGTCAAAACCGATGTCTCAGCGAGCGAGCCGGAGTGTGGACTCTCGACAGGGGCGGCTGGCTGACTTCGTCCGTCTTGTTCGCGGAATCCATGTGCATGATCGCACATGGGCACGTTTAGCGCCTCGCGCGGGAGAGTCGGTCGACGATGTGCAAGATCCGGGTGGGAAGACGGGCTATTTTTCCTGAGTCAGGAGCAAAGATCGGCGGTCCAGAACTTGACCTCCTGATGGAAAGGTCACAAAACGTTGGTGCTGCGAGGACGCGTCCTGCAATGGCCTGCTCGAGATAGGGTAACTTGATCCACTTGGAACTGCGAGGCACTTTTGCCGAGGGCTTCACGATTGGAAGCATGGGCGTCGGCGGCGAAGACAAAGTTGTGTCTTGAAGACCCGGTGGCGCCTACGAACGTTCACGATGGATGGACGAGGCTGGCCCTAGCATGTGGCATCTGATCATGATTTGTATGATTGCGCAGGATCAGATGCTGGAAAGGCATGAATTATAGTATTTCCTAGTATACGAGATTTACGAGCTAAATCAGATATCAACACCGGGTGTCATTTCTGAACACGAGAAAACCGACTGTCCATGATCCCTATTGATCGTTCCATGACCATCACCTTGCCGGTCTGCCAGTTGGCCTCATAGGCGCTTGTGCGGCGGGTTGCGTCTGTGCACTCGCCGTAGCAGCTGATATGAGTGGTTCGCTCTCGTTTGGTCGCCCTTCCAGACTCGCACTCTTCATGTCCCGCTCGCCGCCGCAACACCACTGAGCCAGCCGTTCTGGAAAGGTATGACCTATAACCTAGTTGAAGTAAGGCTTTAACACCAGCGGGAGGGATTGCGTACGGATAGTCGCGAAGTCCAGGCAGATGCCGGTGACCAGCTCGCAGCATGCCGTGATACATAGGGCGCAACATGTTCCAAACGGATCGTCTGCAGACATATAATGATACTGATCAGGTTGTGACTAGCTGAGTCGTTGAAGGTCAGTTCGTCGTGGTCGACGACGACCACGATGACTGCGCATAACGATCAGCGCGCTCTGTAGCGCGCTAAGCGCTTTCACGTGACTCGTTGGAACGTCTCCAGCGCCAAGCCATTCTGGGCCAATGAGCGGGCCCGAACTGACAGCGGCGCCCACGATCGGGCGCCTTTCCCCGACGCCGGGGCGGAGAGGCCTCGACCCGGGGGGCGCTGCAGTCGACCGCTTCGTCGTCGCTTCACCACCGTTGTTGCCAAAACCTTGTCACCCCCTTTCTCTTGTAGCCTCAGTCAGAACGTCTTGACCTGCCATAATACCTGTTTCACTCGTTTCTCGTCTGAAAATTCACGACAGTTATACCCCGCGTAACTCTGACTGTTGGACGTTTGAGGGAACGTGATGGCTTCTTGGTGAGCGCCCCGTGGTCATCGTTTCAAGAGTAGAATGCAGACGCTGAGACCGGAAGTAGGGGCGACATAATTGCTTTGGTCTTGGTGGGCTTTATCATACTACGCGTACCCCCGTTTGGGCTATCGCTAACACCAGCGGGCGGCGACAGACCACTGTATTCTTCTTGGGCACGATAGGCGGTGTTTGGTTCCTCTCGACGCGGGTCAATGAGGGAGTAAAAGCAACGAAAGAAACGTACGTACCGACTCCTATGGTCATGCCCCCCTCCCCCCACACGAGGCTGGTCATACCAGCGACTGACCCGATCTCGCGATCCTGTAGTTTGAAGCAAAAGGGCGTGAACTTATCCGACAAGGGCGTCTCTATCAAAACGCAATCGCGATTCACCCGCGAAGACTACATCGATGCGACCCAGCGCGCGTTCATGAAGCTCCCCGCGTCCGGCGCGGCCTCCTTTGGCCACGCCGACGACATCAACAAGCCCAGCCCGCCCCTCAAACGCACGCCCACGGGCACGCCCGTCTCTGGAAAACTGCCGGCGGCACCCAGCAGGACCAATTCGACGTCGGGCGAGTACTTTCCGCAACCAGGACACGTCACTCGGTGAGCAAGGCTTTTCTCAAATACCCTATTCCTGTCCTTCCGAGGGAGATCGAAGACTGAATATATGCGCGCCCTTGTCGCAGGTCCGACTCGGTCAGCAGCGTGGGGAGCGCAGAAAAGAAGAAAAAGTCCGGTCTCTTCAGCATGACGCGCAAAAACAGCGGGAGCAAGTCATAGAACGGCATTCCCGCTGACACGCGCATCGTCCACGTACTCCGTTCCCCCTGCTTTTACCCCTTCTGCTATCCTTGTATCAACCAGGCATAAGGCCCGCGGGCGAGGCTGGGGCTGGGCCGGACCTTTTCTGATTTTCGGTGCATATATGCATACGTGATCCAGCGTCATGCGTTGGCGGGTGGATATGGGGCTGGTTGACCAACGCTTGCGCTCGGATGGTTAAATGGCGCGGCCCAAACGGGCTGTAGCCCTCATACGTGTCCGCACCCTTGCTTTTTCGCCTCTCAAAACTCTCGACTGTGCTCTCCTGGCTAAATGTAACACGCGATGTACGCCACGATCTCATAAATGCTATTTTATTCCTTTTCTCCCTTTTCTCCGGTCTCGCCTTACTTCCGCGATACGTGAAGGACGGGCGAAGTCACGTCTCGGCATTTGGACTTCGCCAGTTTCCGTCGTGGTGCATGCCGCTCCGATCATCCAGTATCTACGCCTATTTTCGTCACACGCAAACGGCGGTCCTGCGCACGCACGGCAAAGCGCGATCGTACTAAGGCTAAGCTCATGCACGATCCGGGAACATCACATGATGAGCGTGACGTTCCGAAAAAGGCAATTTACGGCTGCTTGGTTTGACGTGTCGCCTCGTCGTCGTCCTCGTTGCTCACTGTGCATCCTCCGGGACTCCTGAGCCTTGTCTTTGATACTGCCACCTACGGATCTCCCGATATCAACACCGAACTAAGGCTAAGCTCATGCACGATCCGGGAACATCACATGATGAGCGTGACGTTCCGAAAAAGGCAATTTACGGCTGCTTGGTTTGACGTGTCGCCTCGTCGTCGTCCTCGTTGCTCACTGTGCATCCTCCGGGACTCCTGAGCCTTGTCTTTGATACTGCCACCTACGGATCTCCCGATCCGAACTAAGGCTAAGCTCATGCACGATCCGGGAACATCACATGATGAGCGTGACGTTCCGAAAAAGGCAATTTACGGCTGCTTGGTTTGACGTGTCGCCTCGTCGTCGTCCTCGTTGCTCACTGTGCATCCTCCGGGACTCCTGAGCCTTGTCTTTGATACTGCCACCTACGGATCTCCCGATATCAACACCGAACTAGCTGTGAAATGAGAATTCGGACAAAGTCAGAGCGGTCTCATCGGGGAAATGCAGCTGATGCCAATGCAGCTGCATCGTCGGAGGTGAAGCAATTCACTGTTTCTGTAGGCTGGTAGTCTAGTATAGTCGGATGTACGTTGGGCGGATTGAACGCAGCTCGTCGTCGCGGAGGGACAGTCGTTTTTACCAAATTAGGACTGTGACGGAAATGTGACGTAGCTCACGTGATGTTCCCGGATCGTGCATGAGCTTAGCCTTAACACGAGGCAGCCGATGGCCTCGCCGGCAACGCCGTATCGACAGCGTATAGGGTGCAATCTTCGAGCTGCTCGAGCGTCTGATACGCGTAACCCGATAGACAGCACACTGCGTATCGTATCCCTAAACCGACACCGTAGCTGAACCAGTGGGCGCTACGAGTCGGTAATTTTTTCGTGGAAACCCGTACGAGCTTATGCAAGAAATCGAGTATCGTCCGCCTCGTCGGGTGTAATGACCAAGGGAGATAAGGTGAGGGAGTTGTTTATGAATGTGGGAGGCCGAGGTCCATCAGAGATTTAAAGAGTTTGCTGTGAAGATTCGGCGAGAGATCTGAAGAAGTTGAATTTCATGAACGTGGAGGTCTTGTTTCTGCGTTGGAGAAACAGGGCCGTTGAACTGCTGACTTCATCATATCAGGAATACGTGGATGAAATGCAGGGACTCTCGATATTCGAGCAAACAGCGGGCGGCGGGGGTGGGGGGGGGTGGAGCAACGAGCGCGGGACCTATCCACGCTGGATGATCGACAGTCGTATGTAGTCATCCCCACCCGGAAAACACCGAACCGAGTACCGCATACCATACATCAGGTGTGATGCAAGCGCAATCTGGGCAAGAAATCGCATCACAATGCTTGAGTATGGTCGGGATTGATCTCTGGAACTGTGTGGGATAATCGGGCGTATATTGCACATGTCAATGTGACGACCGTGAGTGCAAGTTCGCCAGTGGACCGGAAGGCGATGAACAGACATACTTGTGCGTGGACAGGTACTATCTCTCGATCCTATGTCCTGGTGGCTCCAGGGACAGATAGGACTACATATTCAGGACGTCTCGAGAGCGAAATCGGAAAAGGTTCTGACCGGCGAGCCTGCGTTGGCGCGCAGGGAAAGGCCGGCGGGAATCGTACGGTGGTGAGTCCAGAGTTTGATGAATTTGAAGGTCTCTCTCTCTCTCTCTCTCATCGAAGGCGGAAAACCGGAGGTAGTAATCCCATTCCGGGCCACTTCCGGACGGTAAATCTTTGGAACGCGGCAGAGTAAGAATAAGGTTATAGGGAAAGTAGTCGTCGTCGCGGCTACATCTGCTGACTTAGCCGGAAAGCAACGGAACAGGCGATGTCTTGGCCCGGGATCTTGGCCAGGATGACCAGCTGACCGGAGCGTGGAGAGGCTCCGAGATCGCACAGCCTGAGCGAATCCTCCTATGAGATCTAGCTGCTCGTAGCTTCGGAGCTTGTGCAACCTTGAGACTTGGAATGCCGGGACGACTAAGATCGGCCTCGTGAGATGAGAGAGAATCGGAAGGTTTACAGAGATAAGATGCGCGCCGGGTGAGATGACGCACTCCCAGGTAACCGTGCGCATGTATAAGCAGAGGGCTTGTACGTCCTTAGTACGCAGATCGAGACACAGGTCGCCTGAGCACGTCGACGTCGGAGGCGTATCCTAGTGCAGCTATCCGCCATGGCGGCTACTCCATCCTCAGATTTCCGGAACGGGGAAGAGCACGATTTAGGGGTCTGCATGGGCTAGAGGCGATGGCATGCACCGTGCAGATTGGAAGGCGCTGGAATGAATCTGATCGGACCGGGGTTGACGACGGGATAGAGAGTTCAGTTCCGGTGGATCGACGGCGGGCAAATCTGTAATATTCGCTGGGGCCGCTGCGTTGGCGGATCTGTAGACGGGGCTGGAAAGCTCGAGCTTATGTGAAGATCCACTAGGGGCGGATTCCGGCGTATAAGGAGCGTTGCATTTAGGATTGCTCGTACGTGGGCGTGGGGGTTCAGCTGCACCTGGTAATCGCGGTGCTGAGTATGGCGCGCGTGTTCGTGGGGGTTAGACGGACGGGGGTTTTGAAGGTACGTGAAATTGAACAGCCAAGGCGTGAGCGACAAGAAGACCTGTGATATAGAGTCATGAGCGCTGAGCTCAGCCGAAGGAGAGCCGGAGCTGGCCGGACGGATGACGAGACCCTGAGTATGTCGCGTGCGCCGGGAGACAAACACGGAGATCAGCCTGCCTCTCTGAATCAAGGCATCGGGGACTAGAATTGGTTTGTTAGTTCTTACGCCGGACATACGTGTAAGGTGTAGATCCTGGCGGGGTGGTCAAGCGGCCAGCTATGCCAGCCCGGAGACAGAGTTTGGAGGCTTGAGGAGGCATGATTTAATGCTACGAGGACCATGTGATGGCTTGTATCCGTTCGTGAGCGCCAGCCGGCGCGTTGTGGTGCTAAGAGGAATATATACAGACGAGATTGGCGAGTCGCAATGACAATGTGTATAGTCTGGCTGGAGCGGTGATCGGCGCTGTAACAATAGCAGGTTCATCCGCCAAGTTTGCGATGAGAGATGGAATAAGACCGTTGGAAGGCGGCACAGCATTCGACTCGGCCTCGCCGTTTGTAAGATCCAGAGAACGGAAGGCCGTCGCGTTATGCGTGCTGGGTGCGATATCCGTGCAGCGTGCGCGGACAACCCAACGGGGCGTACCGGTCGACAAGGTTGGAACGGCGACCATCGGGGTAGACTTAGGATTGACACGAATCCAGGTCTTCTCTTTACGTTGTGAGGTACAATACGGATTCTTCTTTGGTATTTCGAAGCTTCGCAACGAGCGATCCTGATCCTGAGCAGGTCAGGTATAGCGTCACGGGCCGCATCTGAAACGATCCATCAGATGCCGTCCTATCCTTTCGCCGTTCGTATTCCTGAGCAGGATCAAATCGTGAAGCCATGTCTCGGTCTTCAGGCTCGCCCGAAAGCCCACCATACGGTGCTCGGAGTCTGTTGTCCATCCTCGTCTGTTATCGTTATGCGAAGTCAGAGTAAACATCCCGTCACAATTAGTCTCGGTGGGGCGGGTATTCGAAGAGTCCCCGAGAACGATATCTCCGTCTCTGCGCTCCCGGGCGTCAAACAGTCCATCAACTACAGCACCTTCGCCTTGTTGTCCGAGTGGAACCCACGCCAACGGGTGCCACAAATTGCACAGAAACAAAGGCAGCAAAAGGCAGACACGTTTTCGTGCATGTATCTCGTAACAGTGTTGTTTCTTTTTACGTGAGTCGTTGGTCCACGACGCGCATGAAAGCTGGTAACGTCAGGCCTAGATCCAGGGACGAACTAGCGGAGACAGCTATTCTCCGACAAGAAATTGCGTCGAATTGACAGTAGCAGTAAGTCTCATCCGGCTCCCCAAATCCAACCACGGCCACGCGAGCGGGCGGAGAATTGTGTTTCGAACTCAGCAGCAGCGAGGCCCGATTGCATCTGTGCTGTGCTCTGGCTTTCCGCAAACGGCCACGACGTCGCGCGTTTTACTTCCGCACCTCTTTATCGCGGATCTGTCCGCTGGGCTCCTCGTTCAACGGGCTCATTCAATCCTCGAGGGCAGCTTCTAGCTCGAAGTTCAAGCTTTAACGCGCGCAAGTGGAGCTTTTTTTTTGCTGCTGAATCCCACACGGGCGAGCCCATCCGAGCGGGTCGATATTTTGATCCCAACACACACACACCACCCCTTCTTCAAAATTGGTTCTGCGGCGGATTGGCGGTCAGGCACGTTCCACAAGGCGAGAGAGAGGCTGGGTCGATTGTACCGCGTTGGGACGACGTGGGACGTGGGTGCGGGCGGGCGATGCGATAGGAGCATCACGACATCCCAACGGCAGGCATCCAAAAGACCATCAAGACATTCGGGATGGTTTCGTGTTCGCAGCTCGGGGCCCACCGCCGTCCGACGGCCCCGGCGCTGAATGTGACGGTGACATGAACAGGTTTAACGTTCAACGTTCAACGTCCGACGACAGCTCTCCCATCCCATCGCCTTGTGTCCGGAAATCGCGCCGGATGTGAGCGCCCTGTCGCTCGTCTCGGAGAGCTGAACCGGCTCAGCTTGGTTCACGGGGGTTTCCCGTCGTGGATCCCAGCAGTGCCTTCAAAGTTTCCACACCGATGTCCCGTCGGTGCTGTGACAGCAATACGATCTGGACCTGAGGGGCATGTCTTCGGTGTGCCTGCGTTTCCGAGTCTCCGACTGTTGGATTAGAGCGATTATAAGCGTGATGCAGGCCCGGACGCAGGTGGAAGATCCCCTCCAGCCGTGCGTGCCGTGCCCTCGCTTGTCCTCTCGTCGTCCGTCTGTTCTTTTCTTGCCTTCCCTCGGTAATAAGGATGGATTATGACGCGTACGATGCGCTCCTCCATCACGTGTTCCAGGAGGTCAGCCGCCCTTTCGTCTTCACTTGTTCTTTTCGTCTGAATTCCTCCGTCCTCGTTACAGACGCAGGATGACGCCTGGTAGGCCCACTTTGCTGCTTATACGACTGGGAGAGGCATATGATGATGGATGATGCAGGTTCAAGCCCACGGAGGAGAACATCCATGGCGGCGTCTGTCTCCGCGTCGAGCCGGGGCGCTTTCGCGGCTTTCCCTACGAGAACCACCTTCTGCAGCCATTCGAGGCCGCGGTGAAGATCCTCAACCCCGTCATCGCCGTCAAGCTTAGGAGTGCGGCCGTCAACGCCGCCATCGCCTCGATGTGAGTCTCCGATCGTGGACATAGCCACGTGCGTTCACGGCAACTAAACGGGCGCATCTCGTTGCAGCGCCTCGGACGCGAATGCGATTTACCTCGACTCGGAGACGCGCATCCAGATCCTCGAGACGATGCCCCAGCTCGGGCGCGCGGACAAGGAGCAGTGCGGCGCGTTCATCCGCGACGAACGAGTGCTTGTCATCTGGTCGGACGCGCTGGATAACATTCTCCCCCTCTACCGCGACTTTGAGGACAAGCTCATCAGATACGTGTGGCGGAACGTGAGTATCTTTACATCTATGGCGTATAGACGCGTCTTTGAACTATCTATTCCGGTAATGCAGCGTTTACGGTTTGCACACTCGCAAACCGCCGTCACTGTGGCACCCTCGTATGTCTCGGCCATGTCCGCCGGCTCTTCGCAGGTCGGCCTTACCGAGAAGGCGCCCGTCGTCGAGGATATTGCTGAGGCTAGTGCGAACCTCAACGACGAGCAGAAGACGCCGGTGGGTATGGCCACCGTCCAGGCCCGCGAACAGTACGCACGCGACCGGGCCGGCAAGCGATCGTGGTGGAGCTTCCGGAGCACTGGCGGCGCGGCGAGCGGGAGCGCTCGTCCCGAGAAAGATCTCGAGAAGAACCTCGAGGAGCGCCCGATCCGGCTTTTCGCGCCTGCTTACAACGGGCTCGCAGCCGCGTTGTCCATATGTGCGTTCGCCTTCTCCTGTCTGCGTTTCGTCCGCGTGCTCATATACAAGCACATCTTGACACAGTCTTTTTGGGGTCGGGCCTCTCGCTCATGATCCAAGAATATGCGCTAGACCACTCGCCCGTTCGTTTCGCGCTCATGATCACCTCGCCTTTTCTCTTCTGCGTTGCGCTCTTCTTCGCGCTCCAGGTCGTCGGCCAGCTCTCATGCATCCTCGGCCCGGTCGCGCACTACCACGAAAACTCGAAGTACTACTCGGCCGTCAAGCCCTCGCCGAACAAGGCTGTCGACGCCGCTCTGCCGCACATCACGATCGAAATGCCGGTGTACAAGGAGAGCCTGGAGCAGACGATCGCGCCGAGCGTGTTCTCGCTCAAACGCGCTATGCAGACGTACGCCCGCCAAGGGGGCACGAGCGCGATCTTCATCCACGACGACGGGATGCAGCTCATCTCGGAGGCAGATCGGAAGGCGCGGATGTCGTTCTATGCCGACCACAACATCGGGTGGGTGGCGCGCCCGGGGCACAGCAACGAGCCGGACGGGTTCAAGCGCGCGGGCCGGTTCAAGAAGGCCAGCAACATGAACTACGGTCTCGCGATGTCGCTCAAGATGGAGCGCATCTTGAAGGAGATGATAGAGCGCGGGGAAGACGATGAAGAGGAGGGCGGGCCGACGCTCGAGGATAAGGCGCTGGCCTGTGCGGTGGAGGAAACGTTCGAGGAGAGTGGCCGGCGGTACCAGCCCTGGGCCCGCAATGGGCGGAGCATCCGCGTGGGCGACGTTATCCTCATCGTCGACTCGGACACGGTCGTGCCCGAGGACTGCCTGCGCGACGCCGCGCGGGAGCTGGCCGAGTGCCCGGACGTGGCGATCATCCAGCACGAGTCGGGCGTGATGCAGGTCGCGCACCATTACTTTGAAAACGGCATCACGCACTTCACGCGGAGGATCAACAAGTGCATATCGATGGTCTGCGCCAATGGCGAGGTCGCGCCGTTCGTCGGACACAACGCGTTCCTCCGGTGGTCCGCGCTACAGGACGCCGCGTTCGTCGACCCGGCCGACGGGAAGACGAAGATCTGGTCGGAGACGAACGTGTCCGAAGACTTCGACATGGCTATGAGGCTCCAGCTCAAAGGGTACATCATTCGCTGGGCAACTTACTCCGGCGGCGGATTCGAAGAGGGCGTCAGTCTGACGCCCGACGATGAGCTCAATCGCTGGGAGAAGTACGCGTACGGATGCAACGAGCTCATCTTCAACCCGCTCAAGGACTGGTGGCGCCTAGGCCCGATCAATAAGCAGCTCAGGATCTTCGTCTGGAGCGACGCGCCGGTGCACTACAAGATCAGCATGATGTCCTACATGTTTTCGTACTACGGCATCGCGGTTTCGTTCATCCTCACGGTGCTCAACTTCTTGCTCGTCGGATGGGCGATCGAGGTCGACGCGTTCTACCTCCACAGCTTCGAAATCTGGCTGGCTTGCGTCGTAGTTTTCCCTTGTGAGTATCCCTGCAAATGTTGTCGTGATCTATGTTAACCGGTACGTCCCAGGCGCGGGTAACCTCGGCTTCACCCTACTTGAATACCGACTCGGTCAGAGGAGCTTCCTCGACTCCCTCGCAGAGAATCTCAAGTGGATACCCTTCTTGTGAGTACCTCCTTGCTACACTCCCGCAATTTACTAATTATGTCGCCTTCTCCAGCTTCTTCTTCTTCGGCGGACTGAGCATTCACCTGTCCAAGGCACTCCTCGCCCACCTCTTCTCGTACAACATCCAGTGGGGCGCGACGAAGAAGGAGGTCGAGCGTTCCAACTTCTTCGTCGAGATTCCGCGCATATTCAAGCGCTTCTGGCTTTCGTTCGTTGTCTGCGGGTTCTGCGTCGCCGCCATGATCGTGTTGACGCTGCCCGTCATGCCGATGGGATGGAGGATTGACCCGAGCGATTGGGACGTCATCTTCCCGGTGAGTCGCCCTTCATTGACAGTTCGCGGGGACACCTTGCTGACTTGCGTTCGATATGAAGATGGCTCTCGTTGTCGGATGTCATATTCTGTTCCCTATTGTGCTTAACCCCTGGATGACGACCTTCTCGTACTAGACCGTCCCCCAAGACACTCGCTGGTATCCGCGCAGCCGCCGCAACCGCGCGACCTTGTACTCTATCCGAGCATGCCCCGCAGTCGCACACTCGCGTCTCGGCGGATCACTGCATTTCTTCCATTGCATATTATGCATGCTTTCCGTATATTACACTTCGGGGAAGTTGCAACCCCCACTAACGCTTGAGGATTCTCTGTTGTATATTGATGGACGTCTATTGTTTTTATTTGGGGTACTTAGGGCATCCGCTAGTAATTATCAGGCTTTAACCGACCAAACATGCGCTCTTTACCGATAGCTAATATGCGTTCACGTTTTCGTACTTTCATCGCAAATCCAGGGATCAATAGAATCGGTGGAGTGGCCTACGGGCCCATTTGATTATGTGCACAAAACTTATACGGGCAAGCGGAACGTTTTACTCGCGAGTGTCCTGGGGTATAGACGAAGAAAGAAACTACAAAGCATCAGAATCAACGAATAAAATCCCGATAGATAGTCCCATCTATTATGCATATACACATCGACATACGATAGCGAATCAGCTCAATCCAAAAACCATGCCGAGCAGATCCTTCCAGCCGCGCTTGATCACCACCCGCGTATCGCCCGCGTACTCCTCCGCGATCCATTCCACGAATCGCGCGTCGAGCGTGCTCAGCGGGCCGAGCTCGAATGCAAGGATGTCCTTTGGCGTGAGCACCACGGTCCGCCCGCCCTCGATCGCGGACGCAGGCGGGAGGAACGCCGCGAGCGTCGAGAGCTGGAAGCACGTGTGCGCGTGAAACGTTTGCAGGAGCGCGAGCGTCGTGCGCAGCTGGCGCTCGGCGTTCTCGCGTGCGTCCTGGGCAGCAGGCGACGCGAGGTCGTCGTCATCTTCGACTTGCGCTTCCGCGACAGTGGCGGAGACCGAGGCGGACTTCACATTGCCCGATGATGAGGATGGCTCGGGCCCACGCAGGGTGGACTTGCCTGCGGACCAGGATGATATGCCGCTACTCCGACGCATCGTGCGGAGGCTTATGCGACTTCCGCTGTTGCCAATGCCCGCGCCTCCGCCGTTGTTGCCAATCCCGCTACCGAATCCTGCGCTGCTGGTGCTGGTGCTACTTGCCATGCCCATGCTCGAGCTCACGCTCGGCCGGCCCTCGATGCCCATGCCCAGGTTGCGGACGTATGTCCCGTCGATGCTGAGGTCCTGGTCTCCATCCTCGCGCGCCTGGCCCCACTGATTCCCATTCACGGACGTGTAGGACGCCCGGGAGTTGGCGCGCCAGCTGCCCATCCAAAGCCCGGCGCATATGACGCACACGTCTTCGTATAACCGCCAGACGTCGGTCCACGCTGAAGTCTTCGGTTTTGCATTGGGTGAACCTGGGCTTGAGGAGGAGGAGGAGGACGAGGCGGGCACGCCGCAGTCGGCGCAGTCGTGGTGATGGCCCGAACCATCACGGTCGAGGATGCGATTCAATTCTGTCCACTGTAGAATGTGGTCAGTTAGTCGGAAGTATTGGTGCGAGGTGGGAAGTAGAACATACGAGTTTCACGTCGCTCCACGTGAAGCGCACGGTCACTAGTTCGTGAGATGGTCCTCTGGTGCCAGGTTTTTGTGCCATAGGTCTGGAAATGTGTAATGTCGGCCGGGACGCCTTGGATGGTGTGGATGTCGTGAGGTCGATGAGGAGGTCGTAGTAGGATGGTTTCTCGAGGAATATAGCGTCAGTCGTGCCTGCAAATCTGCCATCAGTCACCATAAGCAGTGAATTTCGTAAGCCCTACATGCTATCCAGCCACGACCATTTGCCCCTTCCTCCTTCAATTTGTCCATGTCGTTCAAGTTGACCATCCCGAGAGCCTTGATGCCATCCGCATTCCGTCCCTTCAGCTTCGTCTCTCTCGACGTATCGCGTCCGAATGCCTCCCCAGCCACGCCCACGTCCTCTCCGTCAGACAAGCCCTCGATCAATACCCCTTCGACACTACTGCTAGTGTGCGTTGAGTCTACTTGGGCCTCGAAACAGATGTCGCTGGCCACCTGACATAGGATACAGGCCGCCTCTACGGGCGGGAGCGTGAATATGAGGATGCGCCGCCGGCCGAGGACATGTTTATAGAGCGTCAGAGCTGAGGGACCTAATATCCGGAGGAGATGAGGGAGATGTAATGTTGGATTGGGCGCAAGGCCATAGGAGTCGGCGTCGGGCTGAAGGTTCAATCCGTGTGAGCAGCAATGTTGGTATGAACGTTAGAAACACGCACGCCATCCAGATCGCTCGGCCACCCTCGCCAGTCACCTGCACCGCCCAAATCTGCTCGTTGAACTTTACGCTCCTCGAAAAAGACGCGCGCAGGGTCGAAATCGGCTTCGGATATGTCCAGGGTATCGTGGTCTTCCAAGGACGAATATATATTGGAGATCAATCGTTTCAGAGCGGGTACGTGGCGCTGTTGTGCTGCGGTAAGTATGCACAGTTCCGATACGGCGTACGGAACGACGCACCCAAGGTCGAGGTCTTGCGGATTTGGCCAGGAGTATGCCAAGAGATGAGAGTCGAAAGCCTCGATGACCATGCTCGGTTGTTCGGCGGCGGCGGAAGACGCACACACCATGGTGTGGGCCTTTCGTAAAATATCTGTGCGCCCGCATGGACTGTGAGTTAGGCTTGACAAGCCTGCGGCCAGGGAGACAACACTGACACGACATCTTCCTCAACAAGATGAAGCCCACTTGGCAGCGCACTAAATTCGACGTGATTAAGGTCCAAATCTCCACGCCAAACAACGTTAATCTTCGCCGCAAACACAGCCATAGCATAGGATGGGACATACCAGGACTTGCTTTCAATGACCAGTCCAATGTATTTCCTTGGGTCGGATGGAACGAAGCGTGAAATATGGCGACTGCCCCAGCGAAGTCATTACACAGTCAGCAGAAGTTCATATCGCGAGTATAATTGTATGTCCGACGTACCGACATCCTGGGGTATCCTCGTAGAGCTTGCATCCGCAGTCATCAAAAAACGTCTTCCACTTCGTGAATAATAAGTATGGGTGTTGGTGGGAATTAGGGAAAGGACCGAGAACGGATGTATGGAAACAGGTGTCGCAAACGAGCCAGAGTGTCATTCAACGCCTTGTCGGGGTGAGAAGATGAAGTTCGGTGGTGACGTAGCGTCACACGTCCCTGATCGGCACGCGAAAGGTTGTTACGGCCATTGTCACGCGATTGGCCCTTGAATTCGCTCCGCGCTTTAGTTTCAGGGACGAGGATGGCTTCAGCTCCCCAAGGCCAACAGATCAACGTTACCGACCTCGACTTGCAGCAACTGTCGGATGTGCGGAGGCAGCTGGAAGAGGTACGTTTGCACGCCCTCTATCCATGGACGGGATTGTACTCATGCAGGACGTGGAATTTAGGAATTGACCCATCTGACGAACTCGTTCACGCAACTGAAGGCGGCGCTTGCCAAGTTCAGCGCATGCATTGAGAACGTCAAAGAGATTAATCCGGAAAACAAAGGTGCGTGATACAGTCTCATCGTCGACCACGGCAATGCCTAACAGCCTGTCACAGATAAAACGACTCTCGTCCCATTAACAAACTCGCTATACGTACCGGGCAAACTATGCGACGTGGAAAATGTGATTGTCGATGTCGGAACGGGATACTATGTCAAGAAGGCGCGTCCCATGCAATATTGTACTCGTTCCCCCTTCATCGCTGATCCACGATCGCTATCTAGTCTCGACAACAAGCGACTAAATATTATCAGGCTAAGGTGGACTTCGTACGCGGGAACCTGGAGACGCTGCAAGATACTATAACGAAGAAGCAGGAGAATCTCAACTTCCTGCTCACCGTCATACAGAGCAAACTGCGCGAGGAGACTCAGGCGGCTGGGAAAGGCGGGAAGTCATGAGGGTCTAGGGGAAGCAAGACTTAACCCGTAGCTGCGCGTGGTCTCTCATGCACATATTGCTGTCGACCGCAGGGTCTAGTATGCGATGGGGTATATCTGTAACGGATAATCAGTTTGTTGCACAGAATGACGCAAACCTTACAAATCAATTACATCACCTCAAGACCCAACACCTATATAAATGCAAAGACTTTATATCGTAGCGCATAGTTCTTTTGCAATACGACAGGATTCAACTGATTCATTGCACGCTACATGCTCCCTTTTCTCTCCCTCACATGCACAAGTGTTGCACTCCTTACAATATCGTATCAGACAATTCCGACTTCCCCCGTAAGGGGAAGGAGTTGGTTTTTCTGTACTGGACTTGGTCACGGTGACACCCCCTGTGTCATGGCACACCTCTAGTACTCGTCTTTTCCTGTTTCCCTGCATTCCCCACACGCTCTTTTTACCCTTTCAGGTTTCCTAGGAGCTCCCAGACACTCCTTCTATTCTTTCAGGTTTCCTAGGAGCCCCATACATTCTTCTATCTTTTCGGGTCTCCTAGGGCCTCCGCGCATTGCGCGGCCTTCCTAGGCCGTTCCACTGGTCACGTGCCGGGCACCCGAGGAGCCTCCCTCTCTCATTGGACCATCCCTCGTGTTGTTGATGGATTACTCAGCTACTATATAGTCGCCTGTCGCACCAGGGAGCAACTCAGACTTGTTCTCTCAGTTGCTTCCCTGCCTTGTGCGACAGCGTCTCCGCCACCGTCCCGAGGGATCTGCGCTGCTCCCAGGAGGTCCAGCGCTTACCCTGACAGTTGCAGTTGTTATGGTGTTCCGGCCACGTCAGGATGTGTGCTCCTGGGCGGGTCCGTAAAGCAAAAGTTCTGTCAACACAAGTGTCTCAGCCAGCCTCATTCCTCAGAGGAACGATCCAACATAATCTCCCGAATCCACCATGTAGACATTTCAACCGTGTCATGGAGATGTGCCTTGAGAGAGAATGTTCAATGCGCTCTCATGTTTTGCGGGCTACAAGAAACGGAGGATAGCTTTTTTTCCACGTCAGCCTGGCAACACGGTTTCGCTACAGGTAGCAGCAAGGGTTTGTGATGTGCATGGATTGATGAAGGGGCATCCTGATTGCGCAGTGACCCATGGTCTACAGGGATCGGACGATAAGGCATGGGGTACTTTGTTTGACTCAGACAACAACTTGTAGAGCACCATAAACCACATTTTCTTTGAACACCGCAATACATACATACATACATGACAGACAGCAATTGGGCAGAAATCTATATGAGCGCTATGTCCGAAGAATCAATAGTCACAATCAACAGTCCCTTTTTTGTTTGGCGAGGACTCGACAACACAAATTAGTGTACAATTCTCCCTGGACTGGAGGGTGGCTGCCTGGCGGTATGCTACCCACTTCAATACCCAGACCAAAAATTTCCTGATGCATTGGTGATGTTAGATCAACAAGCACCATCCTGCTTGGGCAAAATCATCCTGCGGGGCAAAATCACCAACATGTGCACTGTCTGTAGTTGGAAAGAGACCAACATCGGGAACAATAAGTTGGTTGAATCCATGCACCGGCCAAGGTTGTTGGGGTAAACCGGTACTCATGGAAGAACCTTGGGCGAGTCCAACGTGATCGGTCCGAATCTGGAAAGGAGCTATGAGGTGATCAATTGCCGTATGACCGAGTATTAAGGTGAAATGTCCCACATGCATCATGATTGGATCCATGCATCGGCCAAGGTTGCTGGGGTAATCCAGTACTCATAGAAGCACCTTGGGCAAGTCCAACACGATTGGTCTGAATCTGGAAAGGAGCTACAAGGTGATCAATCACCATATGATTGGATCCACGCATCGGCCAAGGTTGCTGGTGTAACCTGGTACTCATGGAAGCACCTTGGGCGAGTCCAACATGATTGGTCTGAATCTGGAAAGGAGCTACGAGGTGATCAATCCTTGTATGATTGAGTGAGAAGGGTAAATGTCCCACCGGCGGCATTGACGTGATCGTTGGAGATGCCTTGAGCAGAGTCCTGCTGCAGGTTGAGAGCAACTGCGAAGAGGTCAGTCACTGCATCACAGACCAAGTCATATGAGGGTACCATCCAACACAGCTGGGACATTATGATAAGTGCTCGCGTGCTCGTCGACGACCTGTTGTATGAGTGTTTCCAGAGGGAGTGAGATGTCCAAGGTTTGATACAGGTTGACAACCTGCTCGACCGTGACTGGTCGGCCCATGCGGTCAAGAATAGGGGGCATGAGGCGAAGAGTAGTGATGGTAGCCCTGTGCATGTAGAACACAAGTGTGCTCGCATCTTTGACATGCTCTGCAGCAACCTTTGAGGTGATCTTGGGTAATCTATGGTGTGATGCAATCAGTTGACCGTGATGGTGGTGATGAGGGATACGCACAGAGTGATGGTTCTGGCCTAATTCCTATGAACAACAGCACGGTCAGTGGCAAATCTGATAGCAGGCTAGATATATACACACTCTATGGCAGGCATCCTTGTCTGAGATGACAGACACAGCGCAGGCACAGGCACCGGACTTGACCTTGGAGAATCAGCTGTCAGGGTATGCGCTGGACCTCCTAGGAGCAGTGTGGATCCCTCGGGACGGTGGTGGAGATGCTGTCGCACAAGGCAGGGAAGCAACTGAGGATATATACAAAGATACGAGATGAATACACATACCTGTCGCACAAGGCAGGGAAGCAACTTAGAGAACAAGTCTGAGTTGCTCCCTGGTGCGACAGGCGACTATATAGTAGCTGAGTAATCCATCAGCAACATGAGGGATGGTCCAATGAGAGAGAGGGAGGCTCCTCAGGTGCCTGGCACGTGACCAGTGGAACGGCCTAGGAAGGTCGTGCAATGTGCGGAGGCCCTAGGAGACCCGAAAGGATAGAAGAGTATATGGGGCTCCTAGGAAACCTGAAAGAATAGAAGGAGTGTCTGGGAGCTCCTAGGAAACCTGAAAGGATAAAAAGAGCGTGTGAGGAATGCGGGGAAACAGGGAAAGACGAGTACTGGAGGCGTGCCATGACATCAGCATCGATCCTGCCCCATTCCGATTTGTCGTCTTTGTCTTCATGCCTGAGTGAAAGGCAGGATCAAACAAACGCAAGAGCAACTTATGAACATGTGGGACTTGCCCTTCGAGTCCCTCATTCTCTTCATCTTCTATGGGGTCTTTGAAGTGGAACGATTCACGGTTGAGCAACATCTGCACGAGTCCTTGGTTTTGGCAGTGGTCAGATCACTGAAACCATAATTAGTGTCCACAAGAAGCTGGGCTTTTGTCTTCAATTCACCACGCATCTGTGACGAGCTGTATTTGATCTACATATGCAATGAATCAGTCACTGTATCATGACCATGCAATGACTTACTATGCCAATCATTGCCCCTGCATATACCGACACCTCCTCAAACCACATGCACCACGTATCAGCGCCAAGCCTGGTGCAAGCGTCCAAGAATCCGGCTTTTGCAAATGAAACTGTATTGAGAGCATTCGGGAAAGCATTCTCTATTGCTAATCAAATGCGGAAATGTGTGCTTATCAGAACTTATGGTAGTCATTAGTTACTGGTTATATATGATGTTTGGTGGTGCATAAGTTTTTGATACAGAGATCACTGCATTGAATTTCTGACACTTGTAATAAGCCCAGGGCACGTACTATCCATACTAGTGCACCTACATAGATACATATAACAACTATAACTGCTATAACATGTACACCTATTAGCTATAGCAGCTATGGAGTAGGCACATATTTACTATAGAATTTTATGTAGCTAATACCCTGAGCTATAACTGCTATATTGTACTATATAGTAAATAACTGAGCATGTATAGAACTCTATAGGAAGTATGTGTGGACCGCATAGCATACCTAGAGTTATGATAGCATGCATAGTTGTGAGGGGTGGCTATATAAATTTGGATTTTTTCAGATGGAACTTGAGGAGTTTCCGTTGATCCTACTTGCTTTCTGTGTATTGTCTGAATCTCACTTTATTTTGCTTGCTGTCCTCCATTTCTTGCAGCCCATACAACACAAGAGCACATTGAACAATCTCTCTTGAGGCACATCTCTGTGACGTGGTTGGAATGTTCACATGGTGGATTTGGGAGGTTATGTTGGATTGTTCCTCTGAGGTCTGAGGCTGGCTGGGACACTTGTGTTGACGGGACTTTTGCTTTATGGACACGCCAAAGAGCACACGTCCTGGCGTGGCAGGAACACCATAAAAACTGCAACACATGTGAGTACCATTGCACGTGGTGGGCATTGGTACAATTCACTAATGTGTGCTTTCACCAGGCATATGTCTCTGCTCTCTCTATCATATTGTGCAGCGCTTTGTAAAAATGACAGAGAATGGGTGATGCACATCTTGCCATCATCCTCCTTGCCCTTTTCTGGACTGGAGTGTTCTTGATGCATGTATCTGCGCAACTTTTGCAGCTTCTATGGTCCTATCAGTGGGCCCCTGTGGCCATATGAAATAATGATGCCAATGTAATGAGTGCATTGAACATACTTTCTTGTCATCCATCAACAATTTTCCTCTATAATTTGACTTTCCCAATATCTGGTATTCTGCACTACAAAGGTTATGCTTTGCATGAGACCATCTACCCATTGCCTGCCAGCAGTGTACCGTTGTGTGCATGTGCAGTCAGTGGCTGTGGTGCTCACCTCTGGTGTTGTTCAGCTTACAGTTCCACCAAAATATCAACTCCATGGTTCTGGAGACACCAAACAAGATTCTATGACAACAATTATCTCCCAAAATCATGTTTCTAGACATTTGTCACTCACTTTCTTGTGTAGTGTACTGTACTCGCGCCTCCAGAAAGTGTGTGAATGGGTCACCTGACTGACCTCAACCCTTCGCACTACTTTGAGTTCCACAAGTGAGCATCTCACAGTGCATAGCTATTGTATTGTGGGGATATACTGTAGGCTATGTAGTGTATTAAAATGATGTGTGCCAACCATGAGCTTTCTTGATTGCCTCAACACGAGCATTCATTGCCTGGGTGTGCTTTCCCACTTCCTCATCTGTAATCTCCTCCCATGCCTTCTGCACAGCTGCTTTCAGTGCTTGAATAGAATTGGAAGACCCTCGGATATTGGCTACCCGGGTCTTGAGTGAGAGCCAAAGGGGTTCAATGGGATTAAGATCAGGAGAGCTTGCCATGTATGGAAGGCTCTTGATGCCCAACTCCTCTCGAGCCTGTTTTGCCACAACGCTATGGTGTGCTGGTGCCCCATCTTCAACCACTAACATCTCCTGACCTCTCTCCACCTCCATATTCCTTTTCCAATTGATCAAAGGTCCCCGCAACACCTGCCTGACATATTCATCTCCACCCAACCTGCCTCTGGACTTCTTTCCCTTTGCAATTGCTGCTGTTTCCAGCATGATCAACGGTCCTTTCTTGTTGTGAGCAATGCAGCCCCAGACCATGATTGACTTCCTTCCACTGCGGAATGTCGGCTCTATGGTATCAAGGAGAATCTCTTCTCTAGGCCGACGTGTAACCTTCCGGTGCATTGAGTACTCGCCAGTCTCGATTGCCAATTCATCAGTCCAAATGACAGTACTCCAGTCTCTTTCAGAGTTATCCCGAGCTCATGCAAGGCACTTTTTAGCAGCAGAAGCGCATCTGAAAAAATCTAGATCACTATATGGCACTACATAGTGCCATATAGTCTCCATAGGTCCATAGCGATGTCCTTTGCTACCCGTGCTAGAAATCTGCCAGCCAATGCTATCATAGTGCTATAGGTGCTATAGAGGGTACTGTCATGGCTACAGTAGCTATGTAGGGCACACCTTAGTGCTATATAGCTCACACATCAGTGCTACTGCAACTATATATCCTATGTAAACTCTACAGCAATCATATGCTCAATAGATGTTGTAGTCATCAGAGTAAAATTACTTTTATTAATTTATTATATATCACTGGTAATCATTCAAATTATAGTAAAGAATTATTATTTTTCATGATATTTTATAAGTTACAAAAGCGTATCAAGTAGTGAAAGTATTGATTATGTAAGCACTACAGACATTCGAGGGGTAGGGAAGCACTTCTCGAAGAGCGTCTGAACCACCTGCGAAGCGACTCAGACTTCAAGAACGAAACAGCCCACGATGGCCGGACTTACTGTGTTGCCAAGCCAGCCGGAGTGGTCGTCGACGCCAATCCACAGAGCCCGGGTCGGGGTCGACTGCAGCTGAACGTCCATGCCGCTCACGCCCGACGGCGTGCCGGGGGACTTCGTCAACGCGCCCGGTGTCGTCGGGATCGGGCTACTGACGTTGTTGCCCTTGCCGGGAGCAAACGGCGCGCTGTCGGCCTTCCCGAACCCGATGCGTACCGAGCAAGGAGCCGCATTTGGCGGCTCTCGCTCGGCGTTGGACGAAGGGGGGGCCAGAGGTTGGGAGGCGACGCCGAACGCGACCGCGTTGGCGGCTCGCGCTCGGCGTCGGGCGAAGGGGGCCGCGAGGGTGAGAGGCGACGCCGAGCGCGACCGCGTTGGCGGCTCACGCTCGAAGCTGGGCGGTGTGCGGGGGCGAGAAGGGAGGCGACGCCGAACGCGACCACATTGGCGGCTCGCGCTCGGGGCTGAGCGAAGTGCGGGGGCGAGGGCGTTGGGCGAAGAGCGGGACCGCGTTGGCGGCTCACGCTCGGGACTGGGCGGTGTGCGAGGGCGAGAAGGGAGGCGACACCGAGCGCGAGCCGCCAACGCGGTCGCGCTCGGTGCTGTGGGAAGGAGGGAGCGAGGCGACGAGACGACGCCGAGTACGACCGCATTGGCGGCTCGAGCTCGGCGTTGGGCGGAGGCGGACAAGAGGAGGGATGCTGGCGGGGAGGCGGGAGGCTGGCGGGGCTGTCACTGATCATGTGGGGACTGTCACCATGCGTCAAGTGCAACAAGCCCTTCACGAAGCTGGGTATCGCCATTGTACTGCATGCAGAAAGTTCTTCCTTTCCGCATCTGAAAAAATCTTGATCTATATAGCTGCCCCTCAGAACTATGGACACTATTGTCGTGCTATGGATGCTATATAGAAGTCACCCAGTTGCTATATAGTGCTATGGTTGCTATGTAGAAGTAGGTCAGTTGCTATATAGTGCTATATAGTAATTATAGGTAATTTAGTTCAAAGTACTAGCTACATAGTGATACATAGCTCATAGGTGCAGTCAATATAGCACCCATAGATTTGGTATGTATCTGTATAGTGGTGATAGCAGGGCTCCCAACTTACACCTACCATGAATCAAGTCAGTCTCAGGTCCTGAACTGTAATGTTAGCCTATACATTGTTAGATATATGCATGACCAAACTATATACAAGGTGGCTAAGTATCAAGGAGCTTGTGCTGTGTGAATGGACACAGAGGCCAACGCGGACTTAGAGATTCAACGCGAAATCACGCGTCACGTGACAGCCCGAGTCCCCTCCGGTTTGTCATCTTAGCCGCTGGCGGCCTCCAACACTCGCCCCGCGCCCTCCCACTCCGCCCCCTTCGCCCAGCGTCGAGCGTGAGCCGCCAACGCGGTCGCGCTCGGTGTCGCCCCCGTCCTCGCCCTTGCCCTCCCCTTCGCCCAACGCCGAGCGCGAGCCGCCAACGCGGTCGTACTCGGCGTCGTCTCCCGCCCTCCTTCCCACAGCGCCGAGCGTGAGCCGCCAACGCGGTCGCGCTCGGCGCAGCCTTCCACCTCCTCGCCCACCTTTCGCCAGCCCCGAGCGAGAGCCGCCAATGCGGTCTCACTGGGCGCCGCCTCCTGATATGTGTCAAATCGATGTTTGCAGGCGGTATGGATGATGCAGCGTCGATCGTGGTCTGTTAATTTTCGTGGCCGACTGGAGCAAGGCAGGGAGTTGCAGGTATGGTGGAGTTGCTCTCTCTTGACAGTTCCTGCCACTCCCGCCTTTGATGCCCCTACTCTCCTGCCAATCTCTGCATAGCTGTAGTCTTCCTCCACTAAGGCTAATATACGACCCCTCTTGGATGGGGTGAACTCGGGAATTCCAGCGGGAGGCATGCAAAAAAGTTCGAGTTCAAGACATGGGTGAGCCACGTGACCCTTGTTCGCACACTTTCCGTAGGCACGAGTACATGCTTGCGTAACACTTATAGCACCTCTTTGCTACAAAACATGACAGGTGAAATCACTTGACACTTAGCAAGTTCGGATGAGCCCTGCTTTACCGGCAGCAACAAAAGGATGAAAAGCAACAAAAGATTTCCGACACGGGGAATTGAACCCCGGGCTACCGCGCACGTGACTCAGTGAATCTCATGAGAGGCGGTAATGTTAGCCACTACACCATATCGGACTTGTAAGAAGACGGTGCATTAGCTTATATGACTACAATTTCATGACTGTAAAAAGTCTGCATACAATAAGCAGTGAAGCAAGGCCAAATCGTTGTTGCCCCTCCCTAAGACATTACGGCAACGGGGAGCTAGACTTGCGCCCAAAGACCGCCGCTCGGAAGCGGCGCAGCAGGCTACTTCGTCTCCTGCGCAGTATGGGTCAAGACTATGTGGGTATGGAGAAGATCGACTTGCGACCGCGGGGATCAGAATGGAGAGACATGGACGGTCAATTCGGGTACACGTAGTAGATTAGTGGGGGTAAGCACGAGGGCACGAATGGAAGGAGTTGCGAGGAGAGTGGGATTGTATAGACAAGTTGGACGTAGATGTATGCGTGATGAAGGATGCGGCGCGTTATAACACTTGAGACACAGTAGTAGAGTACCTAATACAGAGTGTTGGGGAAGACTTCCTTCGACTTGTGCACCTAGCGGGCTGCCGCTGTCGCTGCTTCGGGCCGCATACGCATGACGTATACGCCTGACGCCCTTCTTACTTCTTCCCCTCCGCATTCAACGGCGTCGGGAGCCGAGGCTCGAACCGAACACGGCGGCGACGGGAGGGCTAAAAAGGCCAAGAAGCCACGGCGACCTAAGATATGTGAACGGGGGAACGGAGGTACACGGCGTTCAGGTCGCGTCATTATCGGACTTCGACCGTCTTCTTCCTCTTCTCCCAGTCGCTCGCGAGCGTGTCCTCGACGAAACGTTCCATGAGCTTGGCTTGCTGTACTGCGAGGTTGACGACGTGCAGGATCTCGTGTTGTGCGAGGGGCACGCCGCCTGCTTTTTGGACCACGCACAACTCGCGCTGTTCGAAGCGCCGCGTCAGTCGCGGTTTTTCGATCGAACGCCACGGTTTTTGAAAGGGGGGGTGCGGTTAACGTAAGAAATGTAGCGGGGGGGTCCCAAGAGGAGAAAGTGGAAGTGCGGCCGTCAGTCATCGCCGCGTCGCGCCTCGTGTCGAACGACTTTTTTGTTTGTCGAGACCGTTGTTGTTGCACGACGGGGATGCGGCCACACGGACGGCCAAAAGGGGTAATTGGTAAATCACGAGCGGACGAACCTGGGCGTTGAGTGCGACAGACATCGTGCCCCCGCATAATGTTTGTTCGAGCAGGCTCGGATCGAGCACGGTGATGATCTCGTCGACGGTGGACGAGGATGGGGGATGGAAGAAGGCGAACGTGAAGCAGAAGGGCGTATGGTGCATGGCGAGAGGGACAGGCGCGCGTTCGTCGGGTTGATGCTGCGGGAAAGACGCGATGAATATTGCATAACCGCATGGAGAAAAGGACGAGGAACGTACTAGGACGACGTCCTCGCCCACGACCTCGACTTCGGGTCGCCGGAAATGTCGGAGCGCGACGATGCTCGCAAGACATGCACAGTCGAGCACGTTACCGGCATCGGCGAGGAAGTGAAGGGTGAGCCGAAGATGCCATACCTGCATATATACATGCGTCAGCGCATACATCCACAATCCCAACACAAAACCGCGGAAGGAAAATTGATCGGGGTGCGCTTACCACTTGCCCAGCGAGGATACACAGCGACTCCTTGTCGACGGTGTCGCTCCGTCGGATCACTTTGTCGAGCATGCGCGTGATCGTGACCTCCTCTTCGGACGGACTGGGAATCACTTTTTGAGGACTCGTGAGAGGACCCGAGCGATACGCACCTACCGACCGGCTTCGTATTCGCTGGATGCCATCGGCGATACCTCCGAGTGTATGCTGATGATGCCCTCGTACGGGCGCTCCGGCGGTGGCCTCACCAGCCGGCTCTCGATGTGTGCCATAACCCTGTGCGTCGCGTGAGATGTGAGAGACGCGTCGATCTTCACGACGACAGTAAACGTCGAAGCGGGCAAACGCACTTGGTTTTTCCGAGCGCGACCTCGACGTAGCCCATCTCCTCGTTGAAGGTGATGATCGGCTTGCGCATGTCGAGCAAGCGACGGCCGTCAAGGCGGCGGGACTGCCTGAGGGCGTTGAGTAGGAACTCGCGCTCGGGGATCGACGGAGACGGCGGGCGCATCGTCGAAAAAGCAGGTGAAAGATCAGTGTAGCAAGGAGAAAACGCGGCGGAAAGCCGACTGGGTCAGGCCAGAGCTGGCGTCCGAGGGATTGGCTATATATATGAAGTCACGGACCGCCGCGCCCGCCCGTTATGGGCCTCGCTTCTTCGCCGGTGGCACTGACGCCCGCGGCTGATCTCGCACGCCCGGGCCCAGGGGGATTGGCGGAACAAGCATAACCTTGACTGTCCGCCTTGCTTTTTTTTTACAAATCGCAATCCCGATCGGACCGCGCCCCCATCATGGTCCGCCTCATCACCCACAACCTCCTCGCATGCCACGTCAAGGGCTGCACGACGAACAATTTCCCCCTCGTCTTCCAGGATGTGTCCGATGTCGTCGTGCGCGAAGCAGACTACAATCCCGACTTTCTGCGTGGATTCTTGCCCAGGGTCGAATGGCAGGCGCTTGTCGGCGCAGCGCGACAGGTGAGACCGCAAACCTCTGTACCGCTCGCGCTCTGAGTCCCGACTCGGGCCTCGCTGGAGCACACGTCTCTGATGGAAGACGTCTGAATCCGTCGCGCAGTTGAACGATGCTTCGCTTCCGGAGGCACCACCGGACCAACTTGATGACGACTTTCTCAAGAAGGTTCATCACGTCCTGCTGGAGGTTAGTTCGCTGCTGCTGCTTGGCCGAGTTGAGACCGCGCCTTGACGCACGCCTCACAATCTCCCATGATCCATCCGATATCCAGATCCACGTAGAAGAAGGCGCGATGGTATGCCCAAACTGCAAGCACGTCTACCCCATATCGAACGGCATCCCGAACATGGTGAGATCTCGTCCCTTGTTCGCAGTCTCGCGGGCGCGTGTGCCGCCCATTTTCCAATCACGAAACCCCATCCTGATCCATATTTCACCGCATCCCGCAGCTCCTGGCGGAACACGAGATCGGGTGATTGAACTCTGATGGCCTCCGCCGAATCTCGGGCATATCACCAGCAGAGATTCTTTGCACGCGATAATCGCTTCGCGCCCCCCAGACATCTCTTGCCATCTCCGAAAATATCGGTCTCACGCGACCGCGACCCTTAACAGCACAAAAGGTATACTACTAGGTAAAAAAAGAGAAAGCGCATCTTGTACTTTTTTTTCCTGGGCGCGGCCCACACCAGTGAAACAGGAATGGAATCTACTTCGATCCGTTGCATGACTTGCGGCTTCCATGGGATCTGTCCGCTTGACGAATACGCCGACCTCGTCCGTGCTGTCGTCCGCCTCCCATCGCAGTCCGATAGAGGGTACGTACGCGCACACGCGCACGAGATGAAGGGAAGATGGACCTCACGCGCCTCTGCCCCCGATGGCGCTCTGCGGCCGCACGACGTCTTCAACGAGCAACTCGTTCACCGAGGCTGTGGGCCCTGCGAGTGCGCTCTGGCTGTCGGATGCCTTCGGTGAAGGTGCGCAGGCTCATGATCACTTCGAACGGAAGACAGATGCTATGATGCCGGTGAACCCTCCCTTAAAGGCCTTCTTCCGGCGTTCGCGCTTGGGCATCGTTCCTTGCTTGGACAATTGCAACCGCGTGATGCTGACATCCTCGGTGCCAGGGAGGAACGCCGGAGTGCGCGCGAGGGTCGGATCGCAGCGCACAGGACATGTACCCCTTGGCTTTTGCTCCTGATTGCGAACGCAACCCCTTGGCACCGTCCGCTTTGCGGGCATATTTTTCCGTTATCGTCCACCCGAAGGGAGCGGAAAAACCGGGTTTATGCGTGTCGCTTTTGACTAGGAGCCCGGTCGGCGTCGTCGCTTCGAAGCCTCCGCCGCCGTCGTCCACGAGGCCATGACGCGCGCATGTACGGCTACTGTCTTGGGTTGTGCATCCCCGTCGGGAACGAAGGCAGCCTTCCATACCTCCCCAAGCTCGGTCCGACGCCTCTCGTCACCTTCATGAATCAGCAGCGGAGAGTTCGGCACCCATGCTCGTTGACACGACGCCTTCTCCAAGACATGATGCTCTCCCAGCCCCCCTTCTCTCTTCACCCGCCTGTTCTTGAGACTCGGGGGGCGCCCATCTTAACCTTATTGGGCGGTGCTCACGTCAGAAATTGCTCCCTCAACCGAAAGTCGCAGGCGCAGCAGATATCGATGTCCTCATCGCTTCGAATCATTCATGCAAAGGAAACACGGTCGCCAGCCGCGAAGCGGCATCGCCAGGGAACAAGCTTTCTGATCCTTGCTTGGATAACGTCAGCGAAAGCCGGTGATTCTGCATGGTTCTCTGTGTCGGGATTCTGGACATGCCGTGCGCCACGGAGTAGCTCACTACCCCCGGTAGCGTGGCAGTTTCTGCGATGTATCTGCGTTCCTGACGCGCCGGATGCCCCGGTAACCTTTAGTGTCGGCATCTACGCCGTTCGTGCCTCTTGGTCTCCAGGCGTATGTCATAAATCCCGTGGACGAGCGGCCGTCCTTGCGCTACCAGTCGCTTATTCTCCTAGGTTGTATCGAGGAGACTGGTCCTGATAAGCATGAGTACTGCATGCGAGGAACTGCGCGCGAGCTGCCGCGAAGCAACCCACACCCACTTATTGAACTCACTTACGCCCGGTCCAACCGAGCAAGCGTACGCGCTCAAGATATATTTGACCCACAGCGATCCACGCGCGATTCCGTGCCGCTGGGCTCCTTGCCAATCTGGTCTCAGATCACACCCGCATCTAATCCATTCATCGCGTCTGTACATACTGTGCATCCAGCCTTAATGCAACGCGTGTGGCATTAGGGTTATATCTCCCTCGAATCACCTCAAAATCGTCTGAACATTTGCCAGTAGATAGCTAGGATGCTATAGTTATGTTAGCCAGCGTCTCAAATATTTTGGCTAAGCCATAGCTCTGCCAGAGAGATGCCGGCGAGACGAAGTGAGCACCAGCCAAAGTTGCGTGATCATCACACGCGGTCACGACTTGCCGAGGTGCCGGACCAGGACAGGCTGCAACGCAGGGCTTCAGCGGCTCAAGCCAATCAACGCAACATCGTCCTTTGTGTTGAACCTCCTCCTACAGCAGCAATACTGTTCCAATCTGAAATCGGGCTGGCGTGGCGGATAGAATGCAAGGTAATGAGTGCTATCAAATATTTCTATGAATGTTGCATCACCGATCCGGCAAAGCGAGGCCGTGGAGTACTCGTGAATGTTGCATCAACTCGCTCGAGCAGTCTTGGTGAGCCTGAACCAAGCCTCGCGCGCACTTCAGCTCTTGCATACAGTATGTATAGATGCTTGAGAGTATATAGATTTTTTTTCGGGACGAACAACTGAGCAGGAAAGGAACGGGAGAGGGATTTGTGTCGATGTTGCATTAGGGGTGGGTGCACAGTACGAACCACCAAAAACCACGCCCAACATCGACTGCCGCGTCCATCGGACGACGATCCCTCACCGCGCCCCGGATTTTCACATCGCCTAGCTGAACATGAACGTGTCCCTCAGTCCGTCGTCCGTCTCCAACTCCATGCCGCCTGCGTCTCCCATAGCCGCCGCCCTATTCGCCCGCGCCGCCGCCCTCCTTGCTTTCTTCGCGCCCTGCTTGATAGCCCTCCTGTTCAGCGGGTTCGCGCGCGCCATCGCGCGCTCCTCCCAACCAGGCGCGTCCCTAACTTTCTCCCGCCTCAGCCGCTTCGGCGCGCGTTCGGATCCGGCGCCCCGGCCGTCGGACGGCGCAAATCCGGGTTCTCCCGTTTCACCATTGCGTGGCAGTGACGGTGAAGGGGACGCGGATCGCGAGCGCTTGCGCGGAACGCTCGGTGCGAGGTCGTCCGACTCCATTTGAATCCTAGAACCTTGCAACGATCAGTCCCTGTTGAGAAAGCGAAAGCAGTGGAGTCCGATGACCGGAGGAGACGCACCCGTCCTCGTCCATAGGATGTTGATCATCCGCGAATGCTTCCAAGTCGGTTTCCATAGGCATATTGGGATCTCTGTCGTCGAAAGCCCCGGCGTCGGCAGAGCCAAAAAGGCCGTCGAGCGAGAACGGCTTGCCGAGCTCGGTCAAAATCTGAGCCTGACCAACGGCCTCCGCGCCGGGAGCAATGAACGTTTCGCCGTGGGCAGTAGCGAACGCCGTCGGGACCGAGGAAGGATGCACGGTCGGTGGGATCGAGAAGTACGGAATCTTCTGCTGATTCCAGTCCTTGAGGACCTGCCGCGCGGCACCGAGGATGTCTGGCGTGCCGCCTTTCAATAAGCGCCCGCTGCTGAGTGCGAGCATCGTGAGGAATTCGAGTGTAGACGTAAATTGCGGCAGATTGTAAATCTTCTGCAGTGTCTCGGGTTCCGTACGTGCTAGGATCTCTTCCACTGCATCGGTGAGTCAGCCGCAAGGGATCAATGGGTGTATGTTGAGCACTTGCCGACAGCGATGGGGTCGTCGACATCCTCCACTTTGACGACGTTGCGTAGGAGAACGCTCCCTTTCTTCGTGCCTTTTCCGTCGCTGATATCGTCATCGTCGAAGATGACACCGGGCGAGTCGACCACTCGGATACCGCGTTCCAGCTGGATCGATTGCAGCTCTTTCGTGTGGCCGGGCTGAGCGGCCACAGCGCAAACCTGGATGAAACAGCAGTGATGAGCCTCGATGACACCAACATGACGCGACAACCACGAGTTGCCCACCTTCGCCCTTTTAAGGGAGTTGATCAAGCTGCTTTTGCCCACATTGGGGTAGCCCACGACGCCTACGGTAATACTTTGGGCTGCACTGGGTTTGTATGCTTTCAAAAGCCGCAGCAGTGCAGGAGCTGTCGATGAGGAAAGGTGGGCGCGCTGTGAGTTGGATGCTGACTTGAACGGGAGGGTTGGGGTCGAGTGACGGAGGTAGCGGAGCCATTGTTGAGCGTTGTCTTTGGGTACCAGATCTGAAAAAGGAGCCGCGAAGATGTCAGTCAACTGAGTTGTCACGAGAGTCAGTATGCAGATCGGCACTCACCAATCTTGTTCAGCACGAAGACGAGCTTCTTGCCCTCGCCTTCCCGCCTTCTCACCTCTTCTTCGACCAAACGGCTCCGGCATCCCTCCGGATCGCGCGCATCCAATACCAGCACGACGATATCGCTCTCATCAATGACCTTGTGCAGTGCGCGGACGTAGTGCCGGCGAAGTTGCTCTTTCGTCTTCTGGCCTTGCTGCGAGGACGAAGGGTCCGAGGATTGCTGGGCGGACGCCATCGCAGCCAAGGAAGAGAGAGTGGGCTCGGATGCCATAGTAGAATCGGGGTCATTGCGTGCCGGTGGCGACTGGACGCGATGACGGCAAGTATCAGTACCATCATCTCGTTCGTGGACGCGTGACGTACGAAACACGCCTGCTGCTTCTTCTCTGCGCGTTGCTTCAAGCCCGGGAGACGAGGAACGCCAGGATCTTTCTTAAGCTCTGTAATGACAGATATCGGGTTGGTCGGAACGATCGTAAGGCTGCAAGGGAGGACGGGTTACTAACTGCTCTTGAGCTGGATGTCCGGCTTGCGGGCTTCTGAGTTCATTTGAGGAACAACATCGACAGTATGCTTTGAGTCAAGACGCACTGTTCCTGCCCATATTTGACGGCGTTAGGCAGCGTATCGCGAAAGACTGGTTATCCGGGCGATCGAGTCTGACCGCTACTACAAGTATTTCGCCCAGCTAAGCCCAGAGTCAGATCCTTCATAACACTTCTTGGAACGAGCGTATATATTCACATAGTAAACTTCGGTCAATGAGGATGGATCGGGAAATTGCTGAAGAGCCAGTGGCTTGGCAGAACACGGCAAGACAAGGTTTTCCAATTTCAAAAACGCGGTCGATGATTGTCTAAGGCCATTGAAATGCACGTGCTGCACTGAGTACGGGCTTCCTGCTTGCCGTGCAGGATTCGCGGCCATGACATGCACTGGCATTCCGCCGCAATCCTCCTTCACAGTTACCGCGACGTCGGGATGTTTGCGGTGCTAAGACCAGCAGTTAGACGACGAACAGCATCTTGTCTCCAGCATCTTCATGAAGGACTCGCACGGAGAAGAATATCGGAAGCCATAGCAAAGCCAAATCAGATCAGGCATATATCCTCCAGTGCCCCAACTAGGGCACAGTACGTCAAGTTTAAGGGCGGACATAACTCGTCTTGGTCTAATCCATCACAATGGTCGACTCAACAACGACTTTTGGTGGCTGTTGGTACAGGCCTAACGGTTTATTATGTGTCACAGTACGTCCTTAGCCGCGGCGGGTTCAGCGGCATGCATAGTGACTGACCGCAGCTCATAGTCTCGAGCGTGTACCAGAGACCGGTCGATGGAGATTTATCGATTCTAATCCGAAGATGGAGACCAAGGTACGCATGCCCAATCCCTATATCTTGCCGATCCACCTCGAGCACCCTCTCTAGCTAGGCGAATATATGCACCAGGAACTTGTTCAGGAGTTCCGCGGCAAGATACTACCGCCGAATCATCCACTTACGCTCCAGATCCGCAAGGTCGTCGAACGCATCCTCACCGCTAATGATCTGGGACATCTGAAGGGATCGGAACCGTCGGTGACCCTACCGCAATTGCTCTCTCAGGCATTACCCGGATTAGGTGCCCACGATGAGAGCGGAGGATGGGATCCGTATTTGAATCGGGGGGCCAACGATGTTGCCCCAGGTACCGGTGGTGGAGGGCGCGAGTGGAACCTCCTGGTCGTGAACGATCCGAACGTGGTTAATGCTATGGCTACCTATGGTGCGCTTACTTTCTTCATCAGGGGTTTCATGCACATGTACTAACAAATCATCATTCTTGCGCAGGTGATATAGTGGTGTTTACTGGCTTATTGCCAGTCACCAAGGACGAGCAAGGTTTAGCCGCCGTCATCGGGCACGGTATGATTCCCTTCACGATGTCATGTGGTCGTCATTGACAGTGCAAATGCCCTCCTCAGAAATCGGGCATTGCGGTGCGTGCAGGATGTTCTGAGCCTGAACTCCCGCTGATAGCAACACTGTAGTTGCTCGTCACACGTCGGAGCGATATTCTCGGTCGCGTATCCTGCTCGCCATCACGACGTTAGTAGCCGCCGCCCTGGGGACCGACTTCGGTATAGCCAACATTGCCACCAAGCTTCTCTTGGACCTGCCGAACTCACGAGCACAGGAACTTGAAGGTACGGTATCATCCATATTTTCATCTCAACACTTGCATCTGGGCATGAAATCGTAATCTGTTGGGCAAGTTCGCGGAATCCGGAGTGTGGAGGTGGCAGTTCATGGGTGGAAGACCTTCACGACGCCGCGCATTCACCTTTCGTCGCGGCGTTGGACAAGGGCTAGACATGGTGGATGGATGAATGCGCAGTACTGCGTTTTGAATTGCGCATCGTCGCGATAGTTTCTGTTCTCCAGGGCTCCGCCTCCAAATGCTTCCGCTGGAGCTTCGCGCCCGAATGCGCCCGCATGCGTACCTTACCACATGGATCATCCTCATGCCTCCTATCACTCTGCTTGCATGCTGATGCGATATCCTGATATTGATAGCGGACCTCATTGGCCTCCGCCTATGTTCTAAGGCGTGCTACGATCCGCGAGCTGCTCCACGGTACGTCTCAACCTTCGATTCATTTCCATCCCGTTGTATTCACGGCACTGAGTGCGACCTTTGTTCTGATCTTTCCCCGTACGAACCGCCTTCCTTCACGATGAACTCATGCGATCCATCAATGTCTCGGTGCCGCGCGACCTTTTCTTCTCCTTTTGCAGAGTACAAGCGGCCCTGGCAGACCTCGAACGAAAACACCCAGGCGCGCTCAGAATTGACTTGCTTGCGACGCATCCCAAATCTGATCGCCGGGCTCAGGCACGTGCCGTTCGTTCGCTTCCTGCACTCATGGCGAGCTGATGTTTTCCACCTGCCACCACCTTCTTCTTTCCATCTCGCGATTGGACGCCATTCTGGTGCCTGTGTGCGCATCGATGGAACAATTACATATGCCGCTAAATCGGTCGACGCATTCGTCGACGATGGCATCATCTTCATCGCGATCTTTCTCTGACGTTCGTCGCGTTCGCACGAATGTTTTTGCTGGTGTTGTTGTTCTGGCCATATGCATCGTCGATCGAATGCATGGGCTGGGCCGTGACGTCTTCCCTTCGTGGTATTGACGATGATAGATCTTAGAGCAACACCTGCCTGAAGCTTACGCAATGCAGGCGGCGTCGCCCGCGTGCGCAGGATTACAAGCCGAGCTGGACGCCTTCAGACATGCATACGGATTTAGCGGCGCTACGGGAGACGCAGGGCAATTTGAGCCTGTCAGTCGATGGTGAACACGAGGAGACGGGTTCACGGGCGGGGCCGACAGACAAGCACTGCCGTTTCCTGTTCTAGTATGTAGCATATTCTTTGCAAACACCATTCCTCACCAGAACTGTAGACGGGACAGTCACAGAGAACGAAAATCGATGATGCATGCCGGTCTCGTATGCCAAGACTGGCATCAACCGCCTAAGAAGCCTCGCATCGGCGGTAGACCCGACATCCCTCACGTCCCTCTTCTGGTTATGTTCTGGATTGAAACCGGATAGAATGAGATGGAACGACAATGGAACGCTCGTTCACTGCGATACCCGGCCGCCGCACCTGTCCTTGTTACCGGGACAGTGCATGTCACCGTCACATGGCTGCCGTTCGACATATCGATCTGCTTCTCGACCCTCTCCCGCGACAGAGAACAAAAGTCCGATACCAGAATCATCAAAGCCCCAAGCAAGGTTAGCACACGACCCCAACCTTCTCGCCTTCCTTCCAAGGTTGGTTTCCATGTGCGAAGATCACGTGATATGAGCAATAGCTTATCGTGACGTTCCTTCAGGTTCCTTCCTCTTGCCCCCGCCAACCTCCTCCGACGATTCGACGCCGGGGTTGGTACGAAGTGCTGTAAGCCGAACTTTTAGCAATGAAGCTCGTTCTGCGAAAGAGGGCGCGTCATATTCGCCTTACATTGCCAAGTATTGGCCACGGTCTTCGACGAGCAACCGGAATCCTGTGTTGTTGACGGTTGCCGCCGATGCTGCGTTATCGATCCACCGGAACGGTGCAACTTTCTCCCAAAGCGGGGCCAGCACAAGGTCGTCTATCACTCGACCGGCCTTCTTGCTGGCGAAAACCGCGTCAGGATATGACCATGGTACGCAATACCGCCGCCTTCTGCTTGTTCGGGTCTACACTGGTGGTCTCCGGCGAATTGAGATTAAGATTCGCTCCTTCCATGCGGTCCTTCTCTTCTTCGACCTGCTGTATTTGGCCGCAACCAATTCCACCGACCATTGCGTGGATATAAAAGGAGCTCGGAGACGCCATGGATGGGCGTCGAGTTCGTCTCGGTACAGGGTTGCAGCTACAGACAGCCTCAGCATACACTAGCCATGTTCCGCTCTTCCGCTCTGTTGTCTCTGCTGCTCCTCGCCATCGGCGGTTACGCGACCCCGGTTGTGCGTGAGCCCTCCCCCGTCAAGCTACCGTTCGCGGTCAGGTAAGTCGACATGTTCATATGCGGCTGGCAAAGAATAATTGCCGGGAAACTCGCAGGTTCAACAACGGCACCAATGGCGCCTTGAACATCATCGAGGCCGACCGCGCTCGCATCAACCTCATCAAAGAGCAGGGTGCCGCGCTCGCTGAGAAGCACGAGAACGTGCACAAGCGCGCATCCTACTCTGTTAGCGTCACCAACGAGGCTGTCACCTACATCGCCAGCATCGGCGTCGGCAGCCCTGCCACCTCCTACGACCTGATCATCGACACCGGTTCGAGGTAAGCAGCAGACAAATTCCGTCGAGACCCTTTCTCACGCAGTCTACAGCAACACCTGGGTCGGTGCTGGCAAGTCTTACGTCAAGACTAGCACGTCTAGCTCTACCGGAAAGTCTGTCTCCGTGAGCTACGGCTCTGGTTCCTTCTCCGGTACCGAATGTCAGTACGGTTCTGGTCACCGTGGAAGCGCATCATTCATCGAATTCTTTTCTCTCATCAGACACCGACACCGTGACCATCTCGTCCAACCTGGTCATCACCAAGCAGTCCATCGGTGTTGCCTCCAGGTCCTCCGGCTTCTCTGGTGTCGATGGTATCCTCGGCATTGGTCCTACCGTCCTCACCGAGGGCACTCTCAGCGGCTCCTCGACCACCGAGATCCCGACCGTTACCGACAATCTGTACTCCCAGGGCACGATCTCGGTATGATCCCTTTCGTGTACTGTTGATTGCACCCTGTTGATCCCATCTCACGCAGACCGCCGCTGTCGGCGTCTACTTCGCCCCCACCACCGTTGAGGAGACCACCAACGGCGAGCTCACCTTCGGCGGTGCGGACACCAGCAAGTACACCGGTACGCTCAGCTACGTCTCCTTGACGAGCACCTCGCCGGCCAAGTACTACTGGGGTATCAACCAGTCGATCAAGTACGGCTCGACCTCGATCCTCAGCTCCACCGCTGGTATCGTCGACACCGGCACCACCCTCATCTACGTGAGTCACTCGTTCGCACACCACGAAAGCATTCGCCTGACTTTTCTGTCTGTCCTTAGATCGCCACGGACGCGTACAACAAGTACAAGTCCGCGACCGGCGCCACGCTCGACAGCGCGACCGGCTTGCTGCGCATCACGACCTCGCAGTACAACAGCCTCTCCAACCTCGTCTTCACCATCGGCAGCAAGACCTACACCCTCACTCCGAACGCGCAGATCTGGCCGCGCTCGCTCAACTCGTACATCGGCGGCTCGTCCTCGTACGTCTACCTCGTCGTGAACGACATCGGCTCCAACACAGGATCCGGTCTCGACTTCATCGACGGCTACACCTTCCTCGAGCGCTTCTACACCGTGTACGACACCACCAACAGCCGCTTCGGTATCGCGACCACCGCACAGACCACTGCCACCACCAACTAAGCGGGCGCTTTGGACTATCCTTCTGGCTGCACGCCAGAGCGTCGGGTATGGCTCTGAAAATGAGACAAGATGGATGGAGGATTGATTACGCACGGAATGTATATTTTGCATCAAGTTTGTACGGACTCATTCAATGGAACTTCCGGATTTGCTTTCACGTCGATCGGCTTGCGCAAGCATAGAGGTGTTTTTTGAGACTGGAGAACTAAGCGCCGTCTGCCTGTTCACTCAATCATGATTTGGGGGCTCGCGGACCTATCTACCGATTGACGACGAATACCTCCGACAGCCTTCTGCACATTGAACGCCGCGACAGACTATGGTAAGTGACAATAGCGTCCGTGGCGCGGGTCGCATCATGAGGACGAGCGAAAGCGAGTCGAGAAGTTCAAGAGATCGGAGAAGCGGTCAACACCGCGTCGTATCGTCCCGACCTCCGTTCATTTCCCCCCGAACAAATATGAGAAACGTCACCGACACCCCGTTCGCGCACTATGTTCGGGCCCTTCCGAAGGCGCACGAAGTGTGGAAGCGGCGTCTAAACTTGGCCGCGGGTCATGTCAGGATCGACCCGCTCGCGGAAGGCCCGTACATCCGCGATCCGTCGCCTGCCTTGATAATGCTTCCGCTCGGCGAGTGCTCGGGACGGACGGGAAAACCCCCGTTTCCACGGGCTGGAGTTCTGCAAGAGGTCCTGCGCCGAGAAAGATTCCATTCGTCGACAAAATGCCATACGCTTGGCATACGAAACCGGGCGTCGAGGGCCAAGTCCTTAGGCGAGGGAGAGTGAGGTCAAAAACCGTGAATATGTGGAGTCCACCGCCGGGGGGTTTTTTCTTTCTTTCAATGGACCTCAAATCGAGCGCGACCTCCGGAACAATGCTTGGTCGTGTCTATATAAGATGGTTCTATACATGCATTGCGATTAGATCAAAATTATCGTACACACGCGTACCGATAACCGAGGTGTGCGGTACGCGTGGCTATATCATCCATGCCCTATCCCACAGCTGCCGTCTTCACGAGTTCGAATAAATGTGCGTTTTTTTTAGTCCACGCGCATCTTCTTCTGCTCCGGCTCGGGGCCGTTGGACGCGTTGGCAAAGTACTCGAGCGAGCCCTTGGGGTCGGCCTTCATCGTCTTGGACCCTTCGTTCCAGTTGGCGGGGCAGACCTCGCCGTACTTGTCGGTGAACTGGAAGGCCTTGACGAGGCGGATGGTCTCGTCGACAGAGCGGCCGACGGGGAGGTCGTTGATCGTGATTTGCCTGGCAAACGAGAAACGCGATGGTCAGCATATATGCGCATTCTGGAAGGTCGTAGGGTACAAACCTGAGCGTGCCCTTGGGGTCGATGATGAAGAGACCGCGGAGCGCGATGCCCTCTTCCTCAATCAGAACGCCGTAGGCCTTGCTGATCGCCATGCTGCGGTCAGCGAGGAGCGGGAGCTTGAGGTCGGGGCCGAGGCCGCCCTGCTTGCGGGGCGACATCGACCAGGCGAGGTGGGAGAATTGCGAGTCGGTCGAGACGCCGAGCACGGTGGCGCCGAGCTCTTTGAACTGGGGGAGCGCGTCGTTGAAGGCGAGGATCTCGGTCGGGCAGACAAAGGTGAAGTCCATCGGGTAGAAGAAGAGGATCAGCCTGTCGAGAACGCACAACGTCAGACGGTCGAGAAAGAGAGCATGCGCGTGTTATTGAATGTGCGCACCATTGGCCGGCGTAATCGGAGAGTTGGACATCCTTGAACTGGCCCTCCACAACGGCGGTGGCCTTGAAATCGGGGGCGGGCTTCTGGACGATGGCGACCATGTCTATGCGGTGTACTGGTCTAGGTGTCTAAGAGAGGACTGCAAGTGGCGACGGTTATCGCGTCTTCGTCAACGTCTAACGCGGAAGAAAACGGCGAGACCGGCTTACCTCTATGGAAATGCGGAAGCGATAGCGAGGAACGAGACGGGGTCGAGGTGGCAGATCTGGCCGCGCTTATATCGTGCCACGGAATGGTCTAGAAAATGAGCGCGTTATTTGTTCTCGCTTGCTCGAAATGCCTTTGTAAAATCGTCATGTGATCTGTACGGGCGCTCGTAAGCCTTGCACGTGCAGCGTCGGCGCGTGCGTCGGGCCATGTGTTGTTACCTTTATCGGGCCCCGCCGCGACGGGATCGAACGAGCAGGCTGCAGGAGACGTGGACCATCGCGGTTACGATAACGCGGAGCGTGTCGAAGGAGAGCAGGAGATGAATAAGATCTGGCGATAGATTAGATAAGCGCCGCTCTCACGTGAGAGGATGACCTCACTCTCGGATCTTTCCGAGCTCAGCAGATCGCAGACACAGACGGTGGCAGGTTGCAGCGCGTATGGTACTACATACAGTTTGGTTCCCTACTGTACACTACTTATACAGGGAATATAGTCCTTTCAAGCGTCAATAAAGATCTCCTGCAACCAATCTTTCCTCCAATCCTCGAAGCCTCTCGTCGTCAGCACCGGTTTCAGCATCTTCAACTCGATCTTCTCCCGCTCATCATCTTCATCCTTCGAGCCCTCGGTATTCGGCTTTTGATCCGTCTCTGAGATCTTCCTTCTAACGTCCAACGGCTCCACGTTCACCCGCCTCACGCCGCCGTCGCCAAACCGGGGAAGCGTCGCGCACACGCTGGGGTTGGCGAGCCAGGAGCCACCGCTGGCGATGGGGCTGCCGTTGCCGCTGACGAGGGGGAGGAGGCTCGCCTTGACGTCGGTCTCGCGGTGTAGGAGGCAGCAGAGCGCGTCGACGAAGTGGCGGGGATAGGTCGGCACCTCGAGGATCGCGATCTCCTCCAGCGTCGGGCACGCGGCGCTGATCAGCGCCGGCGCCGCGAACAGGCTGCGCAGGACGATGAGCTGGGGCGGGGTGACGCGCAGCAGGCGCAGGTTCGGCAGCTGGATCTTCGTCCGGAGCACCATGGGCATGTACGCCGGCGAGGCGGAGAAGCGGATCGTGAGCGCGGTGAGGCGCGGGAGCGGCGCGCCGGCGACGGTCGCGAACAGGTCGAGCTCGTTCGGGTCGAAGATGAGGCAGGTGAGCGTCTGCAACGTCGGGCCCGCGAGCGCGAGCAGCCGACGCACGAGCCGGTTCACGGCGTCGCTCTGCGCCTGCATCTCCTGTTCTTCGGCCTCGCGCTCGACGTCGCAGAACCAGCCCTCGCCTCCTCCGCCCGCTTGAGAGCACTTGCAGCCCGCGTTCCCATCGTGCGCGTGCGGCATTCGCACGGGCTGCGGCTGGTCGTCCGCTTGGTCCCCTCTCCTGTCGCAGATGAGCAGGTCGCGCACAGTGCTGCGCGCGTTCGGGTGGGCTCGCTCGAGGAGGTTAACGAGCGCGCGCAGTTCGTCTTCGCCCGCGGCTTGGATAGAGCGCAGGCGGGTGCGCGACGATACGGCGGCGACGACGCGCGAGACACGCGCGAGTGCCCGGCCCGTGCGTCCGCCGTCGGTGCACGCCAGCGAGAATATGTGGTGCAGGATCTCTGCGGGGCACTTGGATAGCGACATGATGCGATGGGGGAGCTGGTCAAGAGGAGGCTCCGTATAAGTACAGAGGGTTGGATTGGGGCAGCCCCGGCAAACGTGAATGGCGGGTTTGCCGACGTCATATTTGGGGGCGAGAACGCCGTCCCAGACGTCTATATCGGTCGGCCTGGTTGGGTGCGTGCCAAGGCGCAAAGATGTGAGTGGCTGGCAGTAGACTGCATCGTTTCGCGAAGGGTAGGCAGGATACCCTGGTGACCCGAGTCCTGGGGGCTCCTGGGGAGATGAAGAGCACAAATCGGGGCTGCGGCAATACACAGGGGCAATGCGCCTGAGAACGCGCCGTGGGAAAGTCGCGTACCGTGATGTGGTCCGCGCTTTGACGCGCGGTCCTTGGTCTTTCATCCCTTTCATCTCTTTCAAGACACTACTAACGCTCCGTATCGCTGGCCGGGGACCGCATTGCGGGAACTATACTCGTAGTTCTTCCCTTGGTTTTACCGCCAGTTTTTCCAGATCTAAACATCCATCTGCTTCGCGTGTTTATAGATATCCGTCCGCTCCCACTTCTTTTTATCAAGATAGACACACAAAACCCTCTTGCATCGGTTGTCACAACTGGCTCCGAACACAAAGAGTATCTAGACCACTTTGAAGTTTGATGCTGGTAGTTCGCACCGAACTCAGCCGCTTCGCTGTGGACAGTATCGCTCCTTCAGCATCGCCGCCATCTGAAAACACACAAAAAAAACTTTCAAAATTGTTCAAAACGCCGGAAAACACGACACCCGACATCCTCCCGAATCGTCTGACCACTGCGAATATGTCTCACTTTATGGATCAGCCACCGGTGGCGCGACTTTCTCCCGAGTTATTGAGCATGCAGGTATTCGAATTTTGGGCTCTGCACGAAGACGGATTTCCCAAACCATCGACGCGCAAACCCGTCCTTGCCCAGGTTTGCCACTTCTGGCGCGAAGTCGCAACAGTGGCTTGTGGATGCGACGACGCCGAGCGACGGGAGGCCGTCGCTGCGCGCTATGGAATTCCACGCCTGCGAGGGTATCACCAACGCGGACCGTGCTTGTCTCGTTGGAATAAATTGCGTGACGATCATTTATAACGACCCCGACAACCCTCGGGCACCATTTTGCTGAATGGCCACACTTCGTCCCATACCCCGCAATAAGCAATACGGGTGGTAGTGGACGCGGATAATGTCCCAGAACCGTCGCATTGTTTCTGCAGTGTACAAAGATAATATACACACTCCTTCGCGCAGGCATCGCGGCACTCAGCCCTGGCGGTGTATATCACGTTCCCACTCGTCATTGAAATCCTTAAGGTAGCCGTCTCTTCAAGTTGACGGGACGTCGAGACCCGTAGCGGCGAGCGCCTTCGCTGCACGTATCGCCCGCGCGTGCGCGTCGCCGATTCTCTGAAGAAGATATCAGTACGAGGGCACGAGGGAGCCAGGAGGGAGTACCCACCCTGCCGTATACAGCATAGCTCCTCGGAGGGTATCTCCTGGGGCTCCTGGGAATATGAAGCACAATGCGCCTGAGAACACGCCGTGGGAAAAACGCGCAACGCGACGCGGTCTGCGCTTTGGCGCGTCACGCGTGGCTGAAGTGTCTTCATCCCTTTCATCTCTCCTTCACCAGACGCCACTGAAGCTTCGTAACCCTGACCGGCGAGCGCGCTGCGAACACGGAACTAGTGAGCTCTTTCTTAGGCCCTTCCGCTGAGATTTCCTGTATCTGAACTTCCATCTGCTTCCGTGTTTATAGATATACGTTTGCTCCTACATAAGCGCACCAACTCTGCTGCATCGGCTGGCACAACTGCCTCGGAAAAACTCGTGAGTCTCTTGATCTTTAAGAGCAAGATTCTGCGGTGGACTCAACATTTGTCTCCATAGATCTAATTGCACCTTTCTGAACCGCAGCGACGACATCTCAAAACAAAAGGAATATCTTGCACTCTGGGCAATATGACGACCGACGACATCATGATCAACTTTCTGGCAATTGAAAGCATGTTCAATCCCAAGGTTCAGCCCCCTGTGGCGCGACTTTCTCCCGAGCTCTTGAGCATGGTATTCGAATTTTTGGCTCTTCACAAAGACGGACTTCCCCAAGCCTCCGTCTTGAAACCGGCCGTTGCTCGGGTATGCCGCTACTGGCGCCAAGTCGCACTGAATACCCCTCAACTGTGGCGCTCCTTGAACCTGTCAGGCCCAAGACTCGCCAGGAGGCTCTGGGAGCGCTCGGACAATTCTCCGGTCATCCTGCGCTGGGTGGGCAGCTGGCTCGAGCTCGACCCTGTTCATGAGGAGTTGATCGCTTGCATCAGCCAGCGCCCAGCACGCATCTCGGCTTTGGCCCTCGAGGGCGAACACTCCCTCATCGCTCAGATTCTCGGGCAGTTGCCCTCCGTTCTCCCCTCGCTAGAAAGCCTGTTTCTCAACTCGGACGAGCCCTCGGCGACACTGCTTCCTTTGAACGACATGCACGCGCCCAGGCTGCGCCGCATAGACATCGACGGGATACCGGTGCCCTGGACGTCGCGCCTTCTTTCCAGCGCCAACCTCCGCGCTCTAACAATCAACAACCTGGGCTCGGATCTGCCCCCTCTGCGCTTGGTTCTCAGCTGTTTCGCCGCGCTGTCCAGTCTGCAGGTGCTCGATTGGGCCGGCGAGCTCCCTGTAGACTCCGAATCCGAATCTGCGACGGGCCCGATAGCCGAGCGTGCCGTGCTCATGCCCGCCTTGATATTTCTGTGCCTCGACGGCAGCGCCGCCGGCTGCATCACCCTCCTCCGGTACATCCGGCGCGTACCGTCCGACCGTGCGCGACTCGTCCTCTGCTGCGACGACGCCGGCGATCGCGGACACACCTGGCAACAGCGTCTGTGGGACGCCGCGCTCGCGCACTGGCACCCTCGCGCGCGCGCTCTCCCCGCCCTCACCCTGCTAACCAATACACACGCGCTACACATCGCCGCGGGACACGCCTCCCTGCTCAACGACCAGTACCCGCCGGACTGGAACACGAACCCGCCGCTCAACCTCTGTCTCGGCGTGTCCAACCCGCGTCAGCTGCCACGGATGATGCGCGCGCTCGGACCGCGCGTCGCCGACGCGTGCCGCGACGGCGTCCGGACGCTCTTCGTCCAGAACGACTTTCAGCGCATGGACGGCGCGGACTGGGGTTCGTGCCTGCTTCAGATGCCGCGCGTGCGCCTGCTGCACGTCGTGGGGCCGCACGCCGCGTTGTCGCTCGCGACGTTCGTGGCCACGGCGGACGCTGCACCGGCGGCCCACAAGGTCGAGGCGGTGCTGTATCCCGATGTAAGGCGGGTCTTGTTCTCCGAGATCCAGTTCGCGGACGTAGCATCGCGGGCGGGGGTGGCGTGCTGGCAGCTCGCGCAGTGGCTCGTGGACGCGTCGACGCCGAGCGGCGGGAGGCCGGCACTGGGCGCTATGGAGTTTTACGACTGCGGGGGTATTACCGATGAGGATCGTATGCGTTTGCGTGGAATAGGTTGCGAGATGGTCTCCATATGCGCACGCACTCCCGACGGACCTCGCGTACTGTTCTAATGAATCGCTCCACTTCGAATTGTAGGGGTTATCGACGAAACAACGTACTAGGGCTAATGATGGGTATCATATAACATCGCGGGGTCGGCGCGCTTGCTTACTGTACTGTACAAAAATGAATATACGCTCTGTCGCAAAACGTATCCCGGTCTTCAGCCTTGGTGATGCACGTCCCGCTCCCATTCCTCCTTGATCTCTCTGAGGTATCCATTTTTCGACAGGACATCGAGAGCTGTTGCAGCAAGCGCCTTTGCGGCACGTATCGCCCGCGCGTGCGCGTCGTCGGTTCTGGAAGGAAGGAAAAGATGCTATTAGTACAAGAGCACGAGGAAACCAGGAAGGGGTACCGACCCTGCGGCCGCAGCGAACAGGGGTGTATGCGGACCGACCTGCGAGGCAGACCAAACTCGTCAGTCCATCAGTCGTTTTGCGGCGGCAGGCACATGGACGTGGTGTGCGGATGTCGCGTACCTCGCAACGGATCTGGAAGCCTGGATGGAGCGAGGGCATCGCATATGAGATGTCGCCTTGATCTGTGGACGCATTGGAGAACCCGTCGATGATGTCTTGCTCCGGGGGTTCGATGGGACGATCGACTTCGGGGAGTTCCGTGCTGTGTTTGTGGTCCGTCATGATCTCCGGCGAGCTCGCGCTGGACAAGAGGCGGTTGAAGTGCCGTCTGTAGGACCGCCCCAGGGCCTTGTTCGGGACGTGGTCGAGATAGGTCAGGATCGGCGTTATTTCCAGCCGTGCGCCGGAGGAGAGTGCGCCAGCCTCGAAGCACGCGGTGACTTTCTACATCGACCCAGACGAGGAATCAATATACGTGAGACGTAAACAAGGCGAGAAGGAACCTTCATGAGCTCCTGCAGCCTGGCCTGCCGCTTCGCACGGACCACGAAGACGCCGGCGGCATACTCGTGTATGATGTTCGGCACCGCCCCCTGCGTATCCCATATTCTGGTCAGAGGCAGAAGCGATGGGGAGTAGATGGGACTCACGCCGTGAGTAATGTGACCCTGAATGATGTCCCCGGGCATGGTCTGCTGCCTCAGAACAGACAGTGCAGTATATGCTGTAATGAGTCCATCCAGGGCGTTGATCTGCGTAAGGGATCAATTTCAGCTTGTATCCGTCTGTCACAGGGCGACCAAGCCCACCCCTTCCCAAGGCGCTGCCGCGGCGTGTGCTTCCTTCCCAAAGTACTCGACCTTGAAGCGGGACAATGCTGCTGTACTGACCAGCGCCGCATCGCGAACATTCCCAGGATGTACGATGAGAGATACATCTACTTTACGGCCTGGGACAAGTGAGCACGTTTAGTGCCCGTCTTGACTTGGTCGTTGCCGGACAGCATGAGGTGAGACCAACCTTTGTACGCTCCGGCATCCAGCAGTCTGATTTTGCCACCGCCTTCTTCCTCGGCCGGAGTGCCGAAGAGGACAATCTTTCCCGGAAGGCTGTATTCGGAGGCACAGGATGCGGCCGCCAACGCAGCCCCGACCGAGGCTGTTGCGATAAGGTTGTGCCCGCAGGCGTGACCGATGTTTGGCAGGGAGTCTGACGGAAAGTGTGCGTAGAGAAGGAGGGGGGAAAATCCAAGATGCGAGTCAGCTCAAGTTAGTACGTATTCGCGTGAAAGGCCACGCACCATATTCCGCGTTGAAACTGACGATAGGCCCGGGTCGTCCGGTATCGTACTCAGCAATGAAGGCGGTATCGATGCCGTACGCTCGAGGCGAAACCTTCCATCCATCATAGTGAGCAAAGAACGCGACTAGGTTTTCGTGTGCCAGGTATTCGCTGTAGCCAAGTTCGGGATTATCGTGAATTGCACGGTTCAGTGAGCGAAGGGCCGGAGAAAGACTATCCAAGTATGGCGAAACGTATGCGAGATGGTCATCCTCCACCTGCACAGCTGGCGGCTGCTGTACACATGGTGCAGGTTCAAGCTCAAGAGGTGATCGCAAGTGCATCGTCATGCATTTACGCCCGTCGATCATTTGGCAATGCCGTGCCCCAGATAGTCTTACCTACTCCGATAGGCACGGATCAGATTCGGCACCGTCCGGCATATCCTTTCCTCCAGTCCTGACTCCTTTCTCCTCGCCAACGGTGGCGCAAAGGCAAGACCTGATCTCCGGCGGTACCAATCTGAAGACAATTATCAAAGCGAGGACTTTGGCCTTTGATTCTCTCGAATGAGGTCCGAAGCCAACCTGTGTGCATGGCACAGCGGATGAAAACAACACCATCTTCGAGCGCTGATGCGGGTCCCCGGAAGACATGTCCGCATAAGTAGTACCTAACAATGATTTCTCGACGCTGAATCATATAGGCAATGGCTCGTGCGGCGGCGAACTCGATGTGACACCGACTGCGCATCTTTTCTCCCAGAGGTCTGCTATTATCAGCTATGCTGTCGCTCCAGATGAAACGGTCTTTGATCTTGCATGATACAGACCACACATAGCGACTGCGCATATCTCCATTTCTGCATAATTTCACATTACTTGATGATCTAGAGCTAGATATACTCGAAGGTGAAGCGCCGCGATCACAACGTCCGTTGACGGGAGACCTTAAGAGCAGCGCTGCCCTGCCGCCGATTCTGCAGTAACTCCTTGAAGTTGCTTCACCTCAACTTTGGCCGAAGTCTCTGACTTACGGCATCGATACGATATATCGCCATGGCTCTTACCCCAGCACCAGCAGAGTTGCTGAAGTTGATGCGCGTGAACACGCAAGCATGCCTCATAGGCGAAGTCATCACGTCGATGTAAGTTTCTTCGATGCCTTTCACGCATGTACAGGTGATCATCCTGGTCTTACAATTCAGCCTCTTCGGTATATCGACGGCCCAAACTTTCGCGTACTACAAGGCGCAGCGCTCGGGCTGCGTCTATATACGTGGCTTGGTAGCATCTTTGACGTTAGATTTGTCACATCAGACTGATATCATGCATAGGTCGGCTTGCTCTGGTACATTTGTTGACGTCCTGATCTCCGTGTCCTACTCTTGACCAAAGATGGCGGCACAGGGCATTGGACGCTCTGCACCTTGCCCTTATAGCCCATGCTGTGTACTTCTATGCCACCCAGAATTTGAGTCAGAGTGGACAGTGAGTGTTATCTGTGGATGATATGTCCATGAGACCGGAAGCTCACAGCGGCATTCACAGGGTGGACGATCGCATGATATGGTAGGAATATTCTATTATTAGGGTTTCTCGTCTGATCACTACGCGTGATACGTCCCAGGAGTCTCCTAGTAAGTCATGTTCCTTCCCTGTGGACTCTTGACTGATATATGACGCTTTCAGGGTCAAATCGTAGTGACAGTGCGTCTCCCATGTCGCCTTCGACCAGAACGGTGGATTGACAGCTTAGCAAAGGACTTTACGTCTCTCCTAGTCCGCACCATTCTCTCCCTTCGGGTTTGGAAAGGTTGGTTACCCTTTCAATATGATTGCACGCAAGAGTGACTAACTCTTGCTGCCTCAGTTAGTTCTCGAAGTTTGCTCTACAGCTTTCCTCCAGCGAGTATTAGTTCCTATCCAATGTAGTTGCCTCTCACGCCTGAAGTACAGATTGTCCTTTCCTTGGTGGCATTTGGTGGGTTCCCTTCGTAGAATCCGGCTGATCTTTAGCTCATACAACCGCACAGTCACCGGAATCAGTATGTTTTACCCTTTGTCTATATCAGGAGTGTGTTCCAGTTGACATTAAACCAACAGTCTTCGCCGCCAAAGGGTAATGTCTGATGCATCTCGCATTTATTATATTGACGTGAGGAATCTCAAGGCTGGGTGGATGGGGATTAGACCGCCTTATGCAACTGAAGGTAGAGAACGTCTCGCTTTCTCGGTTGAATTAAATGAAATAACCGTGTCTGTGACTATAGTCACTCCTCTATATCTCATTCACTGCTTCATCTGCAGCCGACTTATTCCTTGCCGGCGCGATGGGCAGCGTGCTTTGGGATAAACGGACTGGGTTCTCTCGGTAATGTATTCACATCGGTATTGTTGCCACTGCTAATCAACGTGAACATAGAACGGATCACATTCTAGACAACAACATTGTATTATACGTGAACATTGGACTCGTCACCAGGTCTGGCCTATTTCAGTACATATATATCGGCGGATCTGACTTTTCGCAGCCTCTTCTCCGTAGCAGGGCTCATCATCGTCAGCAATCAACTATCAATCGTTATCAATCTGACACCTCTTGCCATAGTATGCCGCGATGCCGGATAACTTCGTGTTCATAGGTATACGATCGTTCCATCTCGACTGCCTATGATACTTACACCGTTTCTTCAGCTTTCTTCTTTACTCTGAATCCGAGTGAGCGCGGACCGATTATGCGCCTGTCCCTTCTTATGACATCCGCAGTCTACCTGAACGCACTTCTCCTCTCCTTGAACTGGAAATTCATGGCTAGAAGATCCAGCACAACGAGCTTGCTTCCGAAGCACTCTGACCACGACTCAGACAAGGTGTGGCCGAAGGTTCGCCACAACGTGGAGAGAAACAGTTGGCCAGACTTTGGACAAGTAAGTATCGTTGCTTAAGTCGTCATCGTGGCGTCTCTGAATTTCTTAAAGCCACTCGCAATCAAGGTTGAAACCAGCACACACCAGGTCGCTGATGACGATGTGAGTGCAAACGTGTCTACTCTCCACGTCGTCGTTATACGGTGTTCTAGACACAGGGCAACGAGTGGAACGCCATTTACTTATCCTATGTTCAGGCCAGGAACATTGTGGACAAAATTGAGTCAATCACAAGCTCCACAAGCGGCACGATGGAGTGATGAATGAGCTTCGATTGTGTGCAGGTTATCCCGGGCAACGTCTACGGAAATAAATTATCTTATGCGATAAGTGTAGCGACGGTCGTTGAGAAAATGTGATCACTCCCATTGCACACGCACTGAGTCTATAGAGGGCTTTCAAGGTCATTGTTGCCAGGATTGCGGTAGATTGCGCTACGCTGCTCGCGAAATTCTAAAGTTGCCTACTCCGTTTGCACCAAGTTCAAACTCCGATAAATTTGTCCCTCGCCATACTGTGACGACGGGTAAGCTTTGTAAGCGAAGTGTAGTCACACGGTTTAGAGTTCCTCAGAGTTCACACAATAGACCGGGGTAAGTCTCGTTGAGTGCGCAGGAGAAAGCTAGAGTACATGATCTTTTGTACTCTACTTATATACTACGGAGGCCCTACGTGTCAGTCATATTTTATAGGGCGTAATACGTGTCTTTCGGTGGGGGTTTTATCACGACTCGAGTGCACGTTCGTCAGGAGAGTCTCTGTCGGGGCGAAGGTCCGATGGTGGCGCTACATACGCCCTTCCAAAGACCAAAGGTCTTATGTTACAATTGATCGTGCACTCGTTCAAGAAATTCTCGGTACTTCCTTTTTAGTAGCAAGGGCGCTCATCCGTCATTGAGTCGCGCACCGCGTCAAGCATGATGCGCTCGCGGATCTGAGCATCGGTGATGCGAGGAGGCCGGTAGTAGAGCGGCTCGTATCGATCAGGCAGGCGATTACCGCTATGGTAGCAATTGGCGGAACCGGACGATCGGCGAGAGGAGCGATCCTCGGTAGGCCGGCGAGAAGGCCCGGCCTGAGCGGGCGGTCGACTGCTATGTTTGCTAATTCGTCTAGAGCGAGAGGGTCGTGTA